CTGACTTGAGCAGATCCGGGTACTATGGCGGCGTGAAGAGGAAATACCGACAATCAGTCCCAAGTGTCAATACTACATATACCAATGACGGCAACTCGTATAAGTGTGAAACTGTGAGACGTTCCTCCACCCACTTACTCTTCTCTACAACCGGAGAAAATGTTTGCACGGGTTTGTTGTGCTAACAACTCTCGAAGGTCAAGCAAGGTCATACAACCTCAACACGTGCTCGTCCGTACAAAGATGTTGTACTTTTTCTGTATTGTCTGAATTAAATGCCAGGTTTATTTTGTAACATTGCTTCATTCCAAGTCAATAGAGATTCCAGTTACAATACGTGTGTTCTTGAGATTGTGCGAATATTCGTCTCTTGTCAATTGGAAATGTCTTTTACTTCGCGGAAAAGACGAACTAAACACGCGAGTCATCACGATGAAGTCTCGTCCTTCAATATTGACCTTGTAAACAACGGGTGTTGGCGTAATGCGACGCTCAACTTCCTTCTGTTCGCTGTAGAATGTGAGTATCCACTTGCATTCTGAACTGTATGTTATTAATTCTCCATAGTTTCAGATGAAGTCAGCTAGTTTAAAATGCATGCCGCATTAATTTTGTTATGTATATAGCTATCGTGACAGGTGCCAGAAATGGCAAAACATACTATGGACCGAACATACAACGTATTTTGCTATATTTTGGTTTGCAAAAGGTAGCACTGAAAAATATGCCTTAAATAATAAAATGTTACATAGGTTTTGAATGTTCTGTCTTGTAAACAGTAATTGTCATATTATTGAAGGTGATTCCACCATAACAATATCACTTGAAATTTATAATACAGTGATACGTCTTTTAGGTAAATAAAACTAAACGGCACCGTAACAACACCACACCCTGTCTATCAGGATGAAATGTAGCATTGACAGGAAAGTACTATAAGCATATTTGTTGTTTTTATTTACTGACATATATTTCGAAAGTTCTGTTGTTTTTTTTAATAAACAATACCCTGCTGTGAATGAGTTCGTAGAACATTATTTCAGCATATATACAAAAAGTACAAAATTTTGTATTGGATGATACAGTGATTCGTCTTCTAAGCGAATACCACAAAAAAGCACAGTCCGTACCAGCATCCTCTTGACAACACCTGTCAATCAAGAAAACAGCAACCCATTTTTTTTCAATCTCGTTCGTAGGCATACTACACAAGCCTCCTAATTAACTTCGGCCTCGGCGTTACGCGACAAGATAAACGACATGCGTTCACGTCTGACGGCCAGTTTGTGTAGGGATTGTCCGAATAAACAGCGGACTAAACGACAATTAATCACACAGCGAATACATGAGACCGTCACACCCACGTCGATATCCCGTCCACGGCGAGATGACACGAGATGTGACGTCTAATTTGCCCAAAATCAACACCAGAAGCGCTCTCGTTACAGTTTATGGTGATTTGGGTGGACAAGCAGCCACGATCCGCGTACAACATCTCCTAATTGATTTCAAGTGGACACTTCATGAAAGAGTTGTCTGCGTTGAGTGAAAAAAGCGTAAAAACATGTCCGCTGTTGAATTTTGCGAATTTGCTCAAATTCTTTTGCTCTTGAATACAGATCTTGCATTTAGTATGTCATTGTAGATGATGATTCTTTTCTACCGTATAGTTTATCATGATACGGTTTTTGAACTGTGAGGTCTGATAAAGCAGCATGTCTTATCCGATCATATTTGATGCCAATTGGGTGCAAGAATTGTCAACGCTTTGTAGTCTTAAAATAAGGGGGAACGGATGGCCCAGTCGTCTAAGGCGCCGCGATTCGCTGTGCAGAGTTGCGTCCCTTGGGCACGCCAGAAACCTATGATTGTGGGTTCGAATCCCGGTTCGCCCCGATTATGTTTCTAGGTTTGTCAGCACCATGCTCGTGGGTTTCACCGAAGTGGTTAACGTCTGAGACCTGCATCACTTCGGGCTTTCCTCCCACATTAAGCTGACACGCCGTGATATAACTGGAATACTGTTAAAAGCGGCGTTAAACCCAATTCACTCACTCACTTAAAATAATGCTCATACACGAAAGCACTGGTGTCGGGCACATGGGTGAACTACGGGGATGTGGCCATTGAATTGTACATACACTGCACTTGTTAATGTCCGATATATGTAAAACAAGGAAAATTCAAATACCAATAGCTGCAGTCAATACCACAATAAACTATCGACAGCCGTAGATACTATAAACATAATACAGCGGATACAATATTGATAAACTTGTGTCTGCCGTGTTAAACTGGTATGCGTCTCAAACCAGACACTTTATATGAGACTTTTAACCAGGCTCGTAGAAGTGGGTGGGTGTGGCGGGGTGAGGTGGGGGTGTAGAAGAATCTTAATCAGTGCCATTGATGAAATGGACCATGTGATTTCCAAATAGTATCCCAACCACACTTAGCAATTAGACGAGATACAAGTCAGGTCGAAAAGGTCTCGAATCACCCCATTGTCGCTATTTTATTGGAACAGCCAGCCTACTTTTAACCGCCCCGCCCAGAATCCTCATGAACAATCAAGCCTGCCATTTTACAACAAGGGCAGATAACTCTTATTCTTGTACCAACCAATTTTGGAAGGCTCCAGACGCAACCGTTGACTGCTGTTCAAAATGGCCACGGCAGCACTTGATATATTGTTTTATTTTTCACAAGTAGTTCAATCCTTTGCTGCCTCTGACAGTTACTTCAAATAAATTTACAACAGTTTCTTCAGCCATTTAAAAATACTTGCACATAACAATTTTTCATAAAAGTATACAGGCATCAAGCTAAGATAGAAACCAATTCGTAGGGAACACGGTATGCAGTATTTCACTGAGGGCTCGCAAGGACTTTAACAAGGACGGACAATTGTGCCACGCTGCTCTGCTAATCTGCGGAATTAATGTTTCCTTACTTTCCATGCACCGTAACCTTTCATCTTCCCGAGGCAAGTGAGTTAACTGACTATAAAAGTCCAGTTTCCACCCTTGCCGAACTAGGCTGGTATTATGGAGTTATATTTTGGCTGGGCTAACGAGTCTCTGCATAGTCCAATCAAAATCGCGCACCGAAATCGAAATCCGGTTCGTAAAGTGTCATGTAGATTTCGGTCGACTGCAGGATTTGCAAAGCATGTGCACCGCTAACTCGTTGTCAACAGATATTTTCAAAATCTTTTCATGTTTTTAATCAAGGTGCTCACGTGATTTGATGCACTTCGCGATGTAAGACTCGTTTTATCACAATATAGATCTTGATCATCGATCAGATCATCTTGACAGGGCGCCACCGTTTTGTTTGAAACAAATGCAAATGATGCGAGAGGTGGAATCTGATTGGTCCACAGGAGAGGCATAGAAGGGACATAGCTCGTAATAGCCACTGGTGTCTCTACGATCGAGCCTAGGAATTCCAGCCTAGTTCGGCAAGGGTGGAAACTAGACTTTTAAAGTTAGTTAACTCCCTTGCCTCGGGAAGATGCAACCTTTGGGATCAGAGGTAAAAAATACTAAGATTAGAGGTCGGACAACGACTAATTGGAGCGGACGCATGGTCAGGCTCGCTGACTTGGTTGGTTACTTGTCATCGTATTTAAATTGTGAGTCGATGTTCATTATTTCAAGCACTTGATTGCCTCGTCCAGGCTATTATTTACAGACCGCGGCGTTGAACAACAAACATCATAACACTATACAAGCACGTGGGGCAACAGGGGAAGAACTTCATCAACGACGGGTCGACTGCAGCATAACATTTCCTATATTTCCATATCGATGTTAAAAAAGATTTATCACGCCACTACACATAATTCGGTTGACACGCTCGAGCACATTAAAACACATTTGATGATAAAATTACCTGTCAGTGTCAATACACTAGTCAGCTTGGACCATCTGTCAAGTTTGTCATAGATTTTCCGTATCACAGCACTGTTGAAGGATCGCCTTCATCAATAGTATTTATTGATGCACACACAATGTATAATGACTAGACAATGTTTTAGTTTTTACGTGGTGGCGTGGGCGGGTAACCTCTGGCTCTGCGTGTGGACCAGCAGATCAACCCAGAACCCTTCACGGACCTCCTTACAGAACATGTAGCATTGTATTGCGGATTAGTTATTTCAGACAAAGGACGGGTGCGTTTCTCATTTAGCAGTGAGTGTATCATGTTGTTGTGTTATGTTTATTTTAAGTATTCCCGATCACCTATGTATTCCCGAATGGTTTAATGTCATGCTTGCGCGCGCGTGCGTGCGTGCGTGCGTGCGTGCGTGCGTGCGTGCGTGTGTGTGTGTGTGTGTGTGTGTGTGTGTGTGTGTGTGTGTGTGTGTGTGTGTGTGTGAGATCTGGGTATCCTGTAACTTTATCGTCTTTAACGCTCTGATGGATGCTTCCGTTGAGTTATAGTAAACACTTATTCATAATAAACAATTAAACAACTCGTGTACAATGCTATCTATGTTTCCTATTTCTTAGTTTGAAATTTGCATATGCAAACTTTATTATTCTTAAAATTAAATTTCAATTACAGTTGCTCGTTATCGTTATTAAGTAAGGTTTACGTAATGCTCGTATAGTCACGCACGCCGCCAATATATTCTGGTTAAATGTTTAATACTTTCACGGAAATAAAGGTATATATGCTTAGTGCTTTCTCCCTGTTATAACTTCGTTCAGTGTTAGACGCTGTGGTGCATCCGGGAACAAGGCCTACCGATTTCTTGTTATTCCTTGAGCCTATACGTCGGTCCTGTCTTCTAACTTACATATAACTTGGTACGTTTGTATTACTCAATAAAATTTGCTCGTAAAGGACTCTCTTTATAAAAAGTGTAAAAAAAACCACGTAAATATAAAATATGTTAACAATTTCCTTTCTTTCAGTTGACCAATGGTAACCATCAACACATGTATGGGTAATGTTAACTTATCTTATCTGAATGTTCTTCTGTCTTTCAGTTGTCCGACGTAGATAGACATGAAGACAGTTTTGCTTGGAGTTGTGTTTCTCTGCAGCTTGTCAGGTAGGTCAATATTGGTCTTCCGTACCCGCCAGATTCCACGCATGCCTGCCTGTGTCAGCCCCGACGTTACACCCGTGTCCTACTGGGCGGGGCAGCACTGCTGTCTGTGTCATTCTCGACGTTACACACGTGTAGTACCGGACGGGGCACCATGGCTGGCTGTGTCAGACCCGACGTTATACACGTGTAGTACTGGGCGGGACAGCATTGCTGTTTTTGTCGGACCCGACGTTAAACACGTGTAGTACTGGGCGGGACAGCATTGCTGTTTATGTCGGACCCGACGTTACATACGTGTAGTACTGGACGGGGCAGCATTGCTGTTTTTGTCAGACCCGACGTTATACACGTGTAGTACTGGGCGGGACAGCATTGCTGTTTTTGTCAGACCCGACGTTAAACACGTGTAGTACTGGACGGGGCAGCATTGCTGTTTTTGTCAGACCCGACGTTATACACGTGTAGTACTGGACGGGGCAGCATTGCTGTTTTTGTCAGAGCCGACGTTATACACGTGTAGTACTGGACGGGGCAGCATTGCTGTTTTTGTCAGACCCGACGTTATACACGTGTAGTACTGGGCGGGACAGCATTGCTGTCTGTGTCAGACCCGACGTTATACACGTGTAGTACTGGGCGGAGCAGCATTGCTGTCTGTGTCAATCGCAGCATTGCTGTTTTTGTCAGACCCGACGTTATACACGTGTAGTACTGGGCGGGACAGCATTGCTGTTTTTGTCGGACCCGACGTTAAACACGTGTAGTACTGGGCGGGACAGCATTGCTGTTTTTGTCAGACCCGACGTTATACACGTGTAGTACTGGACGGGGCAGCATTGCTGTTTTTGTCAGACCCGACGTTATACACGTGTAGTACTGGACGGGGCAGCATTGCTGTTTTTGTCAGACCCGACGTTATACACGTGTAGTACTGGGCGGGACAGCATTGCTGTTTTTGTCGGACCCGACGTTAAACACGTGTAGTACTGGACGGGGCACCATTGCTGTTTTTGTCAGACCCGACGTTATACACGTGTAGTACTGGACGGGGCAGCATTGCTGTTTTTGTCAGACCCGACGTTATACACGTGTAGTACTGGGCGGGACAGCATTGCTGTTTTTGTCGGACCCGACGTTAAACACGTGTAGTACTGGGCGGGACAGCATTGCTGTTTTTGTCAGACCCGACGTTATACACGTGTAGTACTGGGCGGGACAGCATTGCTGTTTTTGTCAGACCCGACGTTATACACGTGTAGTACTGGACGGGGCAGCATTGCTGTTTTTGTCAGACCCGACGTTATACACGTGTAGTACTGGACGGGGCAGCATTGCTGTTTTTGTCAGACCCGACGTTATACACGTGTAGTACTGGGCGGAGCAGCATTGCTGTCTGTGTCAATCGCAGCATTGCTGTTTTTGTCAGACCCGACGTTAAACACGTGTAGTACTGGGCGGGACAGCATTGCTGTTTTTGTCAGGCCCGACGTTAAACACGTGTAGTACTGGGCGGGACAGCATTGCTGTTTTTGTCAGACCCGACGTTATACACGTGTAGTACTAGACGGGGCAGCATTGCTGTTTTTGTCAGACCCGACGTTATACACGTGTAGTACTGGACGGGGCAGCATTGCTGTTTTTGTCAGACCCGACGTTATACACGTGTAGTACTGGACGGGGCAGCATTGCTGTTTTTGTCAGACCCGACGTTATACACGTGTAGTACTGGACGGGGCAGCATTGCTGTCTGTGTCAGACCCGACGTTATACACGTGTAGTACTGGGCGGAGCAGCATTGCTGTCTGTGTCAATCGCAGCATTGCTGTTTTTGTCAGACCCGACGTTAAACACGTGTAGTACTGGGCGGGACAGCATTGCTGTTTTTGTCAGACCCGACGTTATACACGTGTAGTACTGGACGGGGCAGCATTGCTGTTTTTGTCAGACCCGACGTTATACACGTGTAGTACTGGACGGAGCAGCATTGCTGTCTATGTCAATCGCAGCATTGCTGTTTTTGTCAGACCCGACGTTAAACACGTGTAGTACTGGGCGGGACAGCATTGCTGTTTTTGTCAGACCCGACGTTATACGCGGTAGTACTGGGCGGGACAGCATTGCTGTTTTTGTCGGACCCGACGTTAAACACGTGTAGTACTGGGCGGGACAGCATTGCTGTTTTTGTCAGACCCGACGTTACATACGTGTAGTACTGGACGGGGCAGCATTGCTGTTTTTGTCAGACCCGACGTTATACACGTGTAGTACTGGGCGGGACAGCATTGCTGTTTTTGTCAGACCCGACGTTATACACGTGTAGTACTGGACGGGGCAGCATTGCTGTTTTTGTCAGACCCGACGTTATACACGTGTAGTACTGGGCGGGACAGCATTGCTGTTTTTGTCAGACCCGACGTTAAACACGTGTAGTACTTGGCGGGACAGCATTGCTGTTTTTGTCAGACCCGACGTTATACACGTGTAGTACTGGACGGGGCAGCATTGCTGTTTTTGTCAGACCCGACGTTATACACGTGTAGTACTGGGCGGGACAGCATTGCTGTTTTTGTCGGACCCGACGTTAAACACGTGTAGTACTGGGCGGGACAGCATTGCTGTTTTTGTCAGACCCGACGTTATACACGTGTAGTACTGGACGGGGCAGCATTGCTGTTTTTGTCAGACCCGACGTTATACACGTGTAGTACTGGACGGGGCAGCATTGCTGTTTTTGTCAGACCCGACGTTATACACGTGTAGTACTGGGCGGAGCAGCATTGCTGTCTGTGTCAATCGCAGCATTGCTGTTTTTGTCAGACCCGACGTTAAACACGTGTAGTACTGGGCGGGACAGCATTGCTGTTTTTGTCAGACCCGACGTTATACACGTGTAGTACTGGACGGGGCAGCATTGCTGTTTTTGTCAGACCCGACGTTATACACGTGTAGTACTGGGCGGAGCAGCATTGCTGTCTATGTCAATCGCAGCATTGCTGTTTTTGTCAGACCCGACGTTATACACGTGTAGTACTGGGCGGGACAGCATTGCTGTTTTTGTCGGACCCGACGTTATACACGTGTAGTACTGGGCGGGACAGCATTGCTGTTTTTGTCAGACCCGACGTTAAACACGTGTAGTACTGGGCGGGACAGCATTGCTGTTTTTGTCGGACCCGACGTTATACACGTGTAGTACTGGGCGGGACAGCATTGCTGTTTTTGTCAGACCCGACGTTGTACACGTGTAGTACTGGGCGGAGCAGCATTGCTGTCTATGTCAATCGCAGCATTGCTGTTTTTGTCAGACCCGACGTTATACACGTGTAGTACTGGGCGGGACAGCATTGCTGTTTTTGTCGGACCCGACGTTAAACACGTGTAGTACTGGGCGGGACAGCATTGCTGTTTTTGTCGGACCCGACGTTATACACGTGTAGTACTGGGCGGGACAGCATTGCTGTTTTTGTCGGACCCGACGTTATACACGTGTAGTACTGGGCGGGACAGCATTGCTGTTTTTGTCAGACCCGACGTTGTACACGTGTAGTACTGGGCGGGACAGCATTGCTGTTTTTGTCAGACCCGACGTTAAACACGTGTAGTACTGGGCGGGACAGTATTGCTGTCTGTGTCAGACCCGACGTTATACACGTGTAGTACTGGGCGGGACAGCATTGCTGTCTGTGTCAGACCCGACGTTAAACACGTGTAGTACTGGGCGGGGCAGCATTGCTGTCTGTGTCAGACCCGACGTTATACACGTGTAGTACTGGGCGGGACAGCATTGCTGTCTGTGTCACACCCGACGTTACATACGTGTAGTACTGGGCGGGACAGCATTGCTGTTTTTGTCGGACCCGACGTTAAACACGTGTAGTACTGGGCGGAGCAGCATTGCTGTTTTTGTCAGACCCGACGTTACATACGTGTAGTACTGGGCGGGGCAGCATTGCTGTTTTTGTCAGACCCGACGTTATACACGTGTAGTACTGGGCGGGACAGCATTGCTGTTTTTGTCGGACCCGACGTTAAACACGTGTAGTACTGGGCGGAGCAGCATTGCTGTTTTTGTCAGACCCGACGTTACATACGTGTAGTACTGGGCGGGGCAGCATTGCTGTTTTTGTCAGACCCGACGTTATACACGTGTAGTACTGGGCGGGACAGCATTGCTGTTTTTGTCGGACCCGACGTTAAACACGTGTAGTACTGGGCGGGACAGCATTGCTGTCTTTGTCAGACCCGACGTTACATACGTGTAGTACTGGGCGGGGCAGCATTGCTGTTTTTGTCAGACCCGACGTTATACACGTGTAGTACTGGGCGGGACAGCATTGCTGTTTTTGTCGGACCCGACGTTATACACGTGTAGTACTGGGCGGGACAGCATTGCTGTTTTTGTCGGACCCGACGTTAAACACGTGTAGTACTGGGCGGGACAGCATTGCTGTTTTTGTCAGGCCCGACGTTAAACACGTGTAGTACTGGGCGGGGCAGCATTGCTTGGGGGTGCTTGGTGTAACTTTGGGTGAATGTATCGAGTTGTTTGACTTCAGGCAGGGAGGTGTGGTATCGGAGCAAAAATAAAAAAAGATTTAATGAGAATGATGAACGTCCCCTAGGGTTGGTTTTTATAGAGGTTGTTGTTGGGTTTTTTTAATATTCGATATTAGACAAATCAAAGGAATCGCTTCACGTATTCACATCAAACGGAAACTCGAAAGTTTGGACTCATCACGTTCAGGAAGATTAAACCTGGAAACTAAATATTGACTTCTATGTTTGTGGGAGGATTTCATTTAACCAGCCGCCCTAATTAACATTCCAAATTATATTATCAGATAAATAAAATTGTTGTCTAACTACCCGTAGTCAATCATAACACGCTAAACAAATGGCTACTGACAGATTCAATGAAATATCTAAACAATATACTCAAACATTTTACATACGCAACATTCTGATTCAGTTATTTGTAGGTGTTTCATATCACCGAACGCTTGCTTAGAAATAACTAGGCGTTTCATGTTGAGCAATGTTAAAACACGCGTTTGCTTTGAGTTATTAGTTTTAACGAATGTTTAAAGCAAATTTAGTTATGTCTTTTTCTTTATAAGACTGCCACAATGGCATCGGGGGGCGGGGTGGCATTGTTGGTAGAGTATTGGCTCTTCACGTCAAAGTACCGGGTTCGATTTTCCAAACAGATGCAATCCGTAAAGGCAAGTTATTTTGTTGTAGATATGGATAAGAGCGGCGTAAAACCCAACTCACTCACTCACAATGTCAGAATATTTGACAAACTTTTGATAATTGTTAAATATCATACCATAACTCACCGTGAAAAGAAGTACGGGTGAGTGAGTGAGTGAGTGAGTGAGTGAGTCAGTGAGTCAGTCAGTCAGTCAGTCAGTCAGTCAGTCAGTCAGTCAGTCAGTCAGTCAGTCAGTAGGCCTCAATGCCTCGTGTGGCAATATCCCAGCAATATCACGGCGGTGAATACCAGAAATGTGTTTCACATACTGTACCTATGGAATGGAACCCGGACCTTTGGTGTGACGAGCAAACGCTTTACCCACGAGGCTACTCCACCACCACAAATAAATACGAAGTAAACCATGAATAATACCTATACATACAAACATTTATTCACAAATCATTAAAGAAATAATCAGGAAGTAATATATCAGGACACACGTTTACCGGTTTTGTCCATTAACAAATACATTAGGCTACAATTAATGGACACGACGAGCTATGGGACGAAGGTTAGAGTCCAGGCTACAAATTTGTTTACAATATATACGACCCGGAGACGAGCGATATAAAACCTAACGAGGGACGCATAAAAACATGTACCCCGAGTGATCCTGCTACAACGAATTGATTCTCCGACATGTTTTAATATGACATTGTAAAAGAATTAAAATAAATTCTTCGAAATTGATAGAAACAACTGATTCATTGAGTTGAGGTTAAACTTGTGTTTTTGCACGTGACTATCATTCACTCGGAAAAATCGTGAGGCTTTTTGCTTCAAAGCGGGGTATAAGGGATTTATTCTCCCGCTGAGAAATCCACGAGCAGCCTGTTTTCTTCATGGCGGGGTATAAGGGATTTATTCTCCCGCTGAGATATCCACGAGCAGCCTGTTTTCTTAATGCCGGGATGTAAGGGATTTATTCTCCCGCTGAGTAATCCACGAGCAGCTTGTTTTCTTTATGGCGGGGTATAAGGGATTTATTCTCCCGCTGAGAAACCCACGAGCAGCCTGTATTCTTAATGCCGAGGTGTAAGGGATACATCGTTTTACCCACGAGGCTACTCCACCACCACAAAGAAATACGAAGTAAACCATGAATAATACCTATACATACAAACATTTATTCACAAATCGTTAAAGAAATAATCAGGAAGTAATATATCAGGACACACGTTTACCGGTTTTGTCCATTAACAAATACATTAGGCTACAATGGACACGACGAGCAATGGGACGAAGGTTAGAGTCCAGGCTACAAATTTGTTTACAATATATACGACCCGGTGGCGAGTGATATAAAACCTAACGAGGGACGCATACAAACATGTACCCCGAGTGATCCTGCTACAACGAATTGATTCTCCGACATGTTTTAATATGACACTGTAAAAAAATTAAAATAAATTCTTCGAAATTGATAGAAACCACTGTTTCATTGAGCTGAGGTAAACTTGTGTTTCGGGAAAAATCGTGAGGCTTTTTGCTTCGAAGCGGGGTATAAGGGATTTATTCTCCCGCTGAGAAATCCACGAGCAGCCTGTTTTCTTCATGGCGGGGTATAAGGGATTTATTCTCCCGCTGAGAAATCCACGAGCAGCCTGTATTCTTAATGCCGGGATGTAAGGGATACATCGTATTTTACAAAGTTCATGTGAACCAATCAGATCTCATCATTCTAAAATGAGGGTATGACACTCCTCTGTGTAAAGCTGTCTAACAGAGAATGGCGTGTATGTTGTTGACACCAGATGGACCGCCACCGTAGTTTATCATCAGACTCTCCAACACGCATACACAGCCACCGAATCACGATCTACAGGACTTGTCAATTAAGCCAAGGTTACAACAGGTTTCCGCGGGGTTCGTGATAAATCATGACCCCAAGCTTAGAAGACGCGAACTCGGGTCAATATTAATTACTAAATATTTCTCAGTCTAGTTTCAAAAGCTTTAAAGAGTAATCTTTTGCCCCGCGTGTTTGTTTTGGATGAAGTCTTCAACAGTATCACCGCCTTTGAATGCCGCTGGTGTTGATGAATAGCTCTCCGAGCCGAAGGTGTATAGTTGTGGAGGTGTGTTGGTTTTAAAGTGAAGTACACATAATCATTCGCCTTATCAACGTAATACACTAGAGCCTCATGATATACATATAAAACTGTCGGTGAACTAGTTTCACCCATATACTAACTATTTCGAGACGCGTGAATTTCATAGATGGTAATGGTTTTTCAATGTGTACAATTGGTTTAATAGTTTATTCAGTGATAAGGTGAGGCGGTCACTTGAATTGCAGGTGGGTTTTTTTGTTCGAAACAATTAAATAAGGTGTTTGTTTGTATATTTGTTTGTCATTTGCCGTACTCAGCAATATTCCAGCTATATGGCAGCGGTTTGTAGTATTTGTTTGTTTTGTTTAACGTCGCTCTGAGCAATATTCCAGCAACATGAGGGCGGACTGTAAATAATCGAGTCTTGGCCAGACAATCCAGTGATTGACAACATGAGCATCGACCTACGCAATTTGGATACGATGACATGCAAAACCCAAGTCAGCAAGCCTGACCACCCGATCCCGTTTGTCGCCTCTTACGACAATCATGGGTTGCTGAAGATCAATTCTACCCCGGACCTTCACGGGTGGTTTGTAATAAATGAGCATCGATCTGTGCAATTGTGTTTGATTATCGCTGGTGTAGTGCCGGTATGCCAAGGATCATACTGGAGGCGAATCAGCGGATCCTAACAACCAAGGGTCGCAACCATGCACCGCCACGTTTATCGTCCTGTTGATCACTGATCCACACTGCCAATGCTATGAACGAGTGAATGTTGTTTAAACCGCACAGAAATATTACAACTACGTCAAAACTGCCTGTAAATAATCGTCGTCAGAGTACGATGACACACGACCAAACAAGTCACGGAGCCCCGCTAACCGACCCATTTCAGTCGGCTGTCGCTACATGTATATACGACAATTCTAACCGGAATCCCCACATGTGAACATCCGAGTGAGAATTGGTCCCGAGCAATCCATGCTTGTTGTAAAGGGCGACTAACAGGACCCGGTGGTCAGGCTCGCTGACTTTGTTGATGCATATCATCGTATTCAAATTGTGTAGATCGATGCTCATGATGTAAAGCTCGAGATAGCTGCCTTCTGATTGGCAAATGTCGATTTCTTGTCAGTCATTTCATTGATCGGTCAATGTTCGCGAAAGGTCGTTCCGACGTGACCCGTAATGGGATGTCCTCAGATCTTTGGTTAGCGGTAGCGAAAACCTAGATCTGATTTTAATGAGATTGACGTCGTGACATGTTGTTTACCCACAGCTGCACGTGCAGACTGCGAACTAGGCGAGCAGCCAATCAGCTTGATCCGATGGAGCGGGGTGGTGCACAGTCCCGGGTTTGAGAAGCGGATGTACCCGAACTACCAGAATTGTACATGGAACATCCGGGTCAATTCCGGGAGTAGAATCAACATGACCTTCACCCAGTTTGACCTTGAAGTCGGGAGGTTCATCAACGCCGACCCCAGAGATAAGAAAAACACGTGCACGGACTACGTGAGGGTACGCATAACGTTATATTGTGTTTCCAGCGGTAATCACTGCAAAAACAATTAAAACGAAATCAAATATATTAATCTAAGTGCCTGGCACTCATATAGCATGTATACAATAGTAATTTGTTTATAGTACAAATTCGTTACTTGTGAAAACCAGAGTAAATTATTCATATACACTAAGCACGGATTTGTTTATCCGGAAACCTGTTAATTTGAGTGAGTGAGTATGGTTTTACGCCGCTTTTAGCAATATTCCTGCAATTTAACGGCGGGGGACGCCAGAAATGGGCTTCACACATTGTACCCATGTCGGGAATCGAACCTGGGGCTTCGGCGTGATGAGCGAACGCTTTAACCACTAGGCTACCCGACCGCCCCTGTTAATTTGAACATGTTAGGGGTAAAATGGAATTGTAAACAATTATATGTAAAAATATATTGTTTTCTTCTTTCAGGTTTCAGACAGTAGTAAAGTATCGTAATTTGTGCTATTGCTCAGTAATTTATTCTCATACACCAAAATTTGTATTTGCTTATCCAAAATATCCGTGTTTCTAGTCATTGGTATGGGCAAAAGAAACAGTGCGAAAACTGTTATAAATATTTTGTTTCAGATAACTGACGGGTCGGATGTGTTATTTCAAGGCTGCGGAAAGCAGGGCTCTGAGGGTCTGTTGTCGAACTCCAACGAAGTGACAATAAACTTTGTGACGGACGAGAGCGGACAACCCCCTGGATTCAGCCTACAGTACACAGGTATAGCGGATCACATTCACCATGTCGAGATTCTTACCAAGATTACTACAACTCAAGCGTTAAGCCATTCCGAATGGCCATCTTAAAGGTCACGGAAAGACACGAGTGGTGATGAATGACCCCAGGACTACCAACGTGCAAAATTAACCTATAAAAACAAATATACGTTTGAGTTTTAAGCAAGTAGCACAGAATTTATGAGGACGAACGTAAATGTTTATCTTGTGAAAGGTATGAATAGAGAATGGGGAAAATCTCCAGACGACCGGGGTTATGTACATCCAATGTATCATCATATATTTTCCGACATAGATCAAATACAAATTCTTTTAATGATCTTCTCACTCATACTTGTCTGACAAGATAGACACAATTTTATGGATAACAACTTCTTTAATACTGTAAAAAGCGACGTTTCGGTATAGATCCTTATACCGTTGTCAAGCAAGACTGAATGAGGGACATAGTGCAGAATATATATAGCAAGTGGAGGATTAACAGTAGAGTAGAGGATTAACAGTAACAACCCTCTACTGTTAATCCTCCACTTGCTATATATATTCTGCACTATGTCCCTCATTCAGTCTTGTTATCCATAAAATTGTGTCTATCTTGTCATCCGCCAACTTCTAAGTAATGCCTATCAAACAAGTCATACTTGTCTGGTAAATTAAGAAACATTTAAATTGTTTGTTCTTTGTAAGAAGGGAATGTAAAAAGCAATGGCACAACTGCTGACTCAAAGATTAGGAACTAGATTAGAAATGGGCAACAGCGATACTGTCAATGTCGTGCCACAGGCTGGAAACAATCAGGAAAATATTTCTTTTTCACAGGTGTTCCAAGTGACGAAATCTCTGAAGACACTTTCATAGAAACACCCGGTTATCCAGACTACCCGCCCCGTGACCAGATATTCGAGTGGAAGATTGCCCCTAAAGAAAATGCCATAACCATTGTACGTGGGATTGCATTTAACGACCCCCTGCCTTGGTGCGGGGAATCGCCTGTAACGGTGAGTCATAACATGGCTGTTTCCTGAGACATCCACCAGAATGCGCTCTTAATCCTCCATTGTGGGTCCAGGTGGTGACCCCGTAACGTAAGTTCTGTTTGACAGCAGACATACAAAGTTATTAGTAGATATACATGAAAATAACCAGGTGGGTAGATATTCCATTCTTATTTTGTTATATACAGGGCAGATAATTATGAAATGAAATTCGTCTTTAACACCAAGGCTACAGATGGGCAAATTTTAGTGACTTTTCAATGTTTAATATGTTTCCTTTATTTGTATCTTTTGGATCACTTAGAACAAGTCTAAACCGTACAAAGGTATTGCGGAGGTGTTTGAATCTTAAATTTGAAAGATACGACTCTGGTTCAACGAGAGACACTCTTCACCATCCACGTAAATCGCCCCATGGCAATTCTGGGTTAGAAAAGGCGATTTAGTAGGAAAGGCTACCAACAACGTATTCCTGTCGAAATTGTCGACTTAATGGATCGGATGGTCGGGCTTGGTGATTTTGTTGATTGTGTGTCATCGTATCCCCGCTGCGTGGATTGTTGCTCATAATATCAATCACTGGTTTGTATGGTCCAGACTCGATTGTTGACAGATGCAGCCGGAATATTGTTGAAAACACATTATCCCACTAAGCCACTAATCACTCACTCATGACTCTGACAACACGGACCCGTAACAGGTCTTCAGCAACCTATGCTTGCCGTAACAGGCGACTATGCTTGTCGTAAGAGGCGACTAACGACATCGGGTGGTCAGGCTCGCTGACTTGGTTGATGCATGCCATCGTACCCCAATTCCTCGGATCGATGCTCATGATGTCAATCACTGGATTGTCTGGTCCAGGTTCGATTACTTACGGACCGCCGTCATATAGCTGGAATATTGCTCAGTGCGGCGTTAAACAACAAACAAACAAACAAATATGTATACTGTCCCCCTGTACACAGGCCATCAACGAGGAGAACCAGACGTGGAACAAGGAGCTGTGCCTGGCGGACTACGCCCTCTTCTCCCCCGGGAACATCACCCTGGTGTATAACGCCACCGCTGACACCAACCCCTGGGTGGGCAGACTGCAGGTCATCTACGAGCCAGGTGAGTTGATGGCGCCCGGGAAAGACGTTAAATGGTGGTGCTTGTTGTTACCCTGCCTAGCGCTCGGCATTAAAGGTATAATACATGGACTGGTCGCTTTGGAGTGTAATGAGTTGGCTGGCACTATTAAAGTGACATAAGTCCGGACTAGTACAAGCAACCATACACACACACGTCCATGTACTCGCTCTATAAGCGTAATAATCTTAGCGCGGCGAGAAACCCTATTTCACCTCATCTAATCTCTAAGAATTCCTGTTTTAGAGACCCTCATAACAGCCGCTAAAATCAGCGAAGAGCCGGGTAAGAATTGGTTTTAAGAGGCGACTAATGGGATCGGGTGGTCAGGCACGCTTATTTGGTTGGTCATTACATCCAAATTGCGTAGATCGATAATCATGAAGTCAATAACTGGATTGTCTGGTCCAGATTCGATTATGTACAGACAGCCTTCATATTGCGGCGTCAAACAAACAAAAGAAAACAGATGCTGAAAATGAGGATCGGTTGGGTATACAATGTGTGACCCGACTCCAGCGACGTGGGTCATTGCTGACGTTCTCGACGTCGTTTTGTGGGACTCGCATAATTACAGATGGCTTCAATGTGTAATATCGTATGAGACCGAATACAATTACATTCACTTAGTCTCTTCAATTTGTAGGTCGGCCATCTTGCTCAAACATGTGTGACAACAGCACAGACAACCTAAAGGAATGTCTGGATCCGCGAGACTTGACAGGGCGGTGGTACAGCTGTATCTGTGAAGAGAAGTACGCCGGCAAGCACTGCGAGGTGGCAAAGTCCACGCTAGAACCCTGCTACTCCACCCCATGTCAACACAACGGGAGCTGCACAGAGGTTGATCATTCTTATCAATGTGGCTGCCTGGAGGGTTATACTGGGAAAAATTGCGAATCAAACATTGACTTCTGTAATGGCGTTACCTGTCAAAATGGCGGAACGTGTGTGGATGGAACTGATCAGTTTCAGTGCGCATGCGTAACCGGATACAGTGGTCAGCTGTGTGAAATTGACATTAATGAGTGTGAAGTCAGTCCGTGCCAACATGAAGGTACGTGTGAAAACAAAATTGGGTCATATTCTTGCACATGCGCAAAAGGATACAAAGGGAACCAATGTGAACTTCCGTACGACGACTGTGATTGGGAGCCGTGTTACCATGGAGGCACGTGCCTAGAGGAGGAAGATGGCTTCCATTGCGCATGTACACCAGAGTACACAGGACGCAAGTGCTCTATTCCTATCGGTAAGTAAATACCCGCTACCCGCTTGGAGAAGTAATGGTTAAAGGTGAACTATGTATGGAAAATAGGCAGCTCTAGCAAGTTTAATTCAAGCCATTCAAAACATACGTTACTGGACTGTAAACGCAAGCGTTGTGAGATATATATGTCTTGCAGTTAATGCTTAGGCTAAGAAAGGAAATGTTTCTCGGTCATCGGCGAGTCTCTCTAAATCCTGCGCGTCAGTCATTTTTATTGCCAAGGAAAAGTTCATTGTTCTAACTATAGCTTCAGTGAGATAAACATTTGAACTAAAATATTTTCCGTAGCCCTTGGGAAATACTACCATGCAATCTCGACAATTTATTAGACATCCCAGAATGTTCTTTTGTTCAGTCTTAAAATTTAAATGGAAGTCGCCCGTTTATCTTGAGAAAGCTGCTTTCTGAATGGCTAATGTCGACTTCTTGTTCATCATTTCATTGGCCAGTCAAAGTTCGCAAAAGGTGATCTGACGTGACATGTAATGGGATGTCCTCAAATATTTGTTTAGCGGTCCGGAGAACTAAGAGATTGTTGAGCAATGTGTGTCGGAGAAACAGTTTTTATGCAACCTCTCCATAATTACGTAGAGGCAATGTCGCAAAATGACAACCTCTAGGCTTAGAATGGCAATAGCTTCCAGGTCGTGGCCCCTGCGGGAAAGAATAGGTTACCAATATCCCATGGTGCCGGGGTCGTCACAGTCTTAGCCTGGTTTATTGTATATCTTCATCACGTCTAGATCGGTGCTCATGGTGTCAGCGGGGGCACGGTAGGCCCAGTCGTCTAAGGCGCAGCGATTCGCTGTGCAGAGTTGCGTCCCTTGGGCAGCCAGAAACCTTTGATTGTGGGTTCGAATCCCGGTTCGCCCCGATTATGTTTCTAGGTTTGTCAGCACCATACCCGTGCTCGTGGGTTTCACCGAAGTGGAAACGTCAGAGACCTGCATCACTTCGGGATTTCCTCCCACATTAAGCTGACACACCGTGATATAACTTGAATACTGTTTAAAGTGGCGTTAAACCCAACTCACTCACTCATGGTGTCAGCCGCTGGTCTGACTCCAGGTACAGGTTGTTTTGATGCTGGCTGCTTTGTTTTGTTGTTGATTGTTTTGTTTTGAGTTTGTTGTTGTTTTTTGGGGGGAAAGAGTTGTTAGTCTTTTATATCAAAGTTGATCAAGGCGAGAGATTTTAGGATAGCTAACATGCGTCGTTGCATTGAATACAGTCGTGTTATAATGCTAATTGCAAGTATTTTTGTGTATATAAAACTGTAATAAAATCCATATAATCATCATTCAATTGTTTGGTTCAATGTCTCCACCAGATTCGGCCCACTGTCTCGAAGATCAGGACAGGACGTTCGGCAGCGGACTGACGTGGCAGGACACCCTCGCGGACCGTGTGGACATCGTGTCATGTCCGCCAGGGATCATCGGTAAGGAGTGCGCTGTGCAGAGAATAGATCATCGGCAAGGAGTGCGCTGTGCAGAGAATAGATCATCGGTAAGGAGTGCGCTGTGCTGAGAATAGATCATCGGTAAGGAGTGCGCTGTGCTGAGAATAGATCATCGGTAAGGAGTGCGCTGTGCAGAGAATAGATCATCGGTAAGGAGTGCGCTTTGCAGAGAATAGATCAATCGGTAAGGAGTGCGCTGTGCTGAAAATAGCTTGACACCGACACCACACAGACGTAGCACATCCCACCTTCACTTTGTAACGCCTGGCGGTGGAGCACCAGCTTGTGGTAAACTCAAAACTGGGATGCTCGTCAGGATGTTACTGAAAAACTATCATAAGTGACGTTGAAATCCAGCCACTCAAGTATTGGTTTACATTGAATACAGACAGCCATCAGTCAGACATTTCACAAACGGCTTTCACATGACACTACAACAGTTATTCAATATGTTTGTTTTGTGGATGAGGTTCAATGAAGATGTACTACTGATGTGTGCAGAGAGGGATTCTATTGTGACGTATTCAGGTGACGTGTTACGATAGGCCTTCCAGCCTTTTAGTACGACACGAACACTACTTTTAATTGTTTTGATAATCTAACATTCTCTGGAATGGAGTGTTTCGGGCTCAAAAAAGCAGCTCTTTCGCAGCCTAATAGGTGAGTGAGTGAGTGAGTATGGTTTTACGCCGCTTTTAGCAATATTCCAGCAATATCACGGCGGGGGACACCAGAAATGGGCTTCACACATTGTTCCCACGTCGGGAATCGAACCCGGGTCTTCAGCGTGACGAGCTAACGCTTTAACCACTAGGCTGACCGACCGCCCCGCAGCCTAATAGGAGAGAATCTAATGTATGACCTTAAAGACAATATCAAGTTAAAGTTCTTGACGCCAAATGTTGAATCTGTCTCACCATTTCGACAGGTAATGCTACAAGAAAGTGCGTCCACGACTCTTCCACCCCAACCGGCGGAAGATGGACTCGCCCAGACCTTGGGGAATGCGTCAGTCCACGGATCATGGAAATCAACGAACTGGTAACTATACGACGTTTACGTATTTTCGCTTGCCAGGTTCAATAACATGCCGTATCAACGGAATGGATCATGTGTTGATGATGATAATTAGCAGTACAAATCCGGACACTTCTACTGGAAACATTCTGTTCGGTTTAACTGGAATACTAAGTAAGGATAAGATATATGGAGGAACAACTTCTTTATTACAATTAGGAGCCACGTTGCGGTGTAGGTTCTAACACCACTGCCAAGCAAGTGAAAAAGCCTTCACTTGTTTGATAACGGTGTTAGAACCTACACCGAAACGTCGCTCCTAATTGTAATAAAGAAGTTGTTCCTCCATATATCTTATCCTTACTAGGTTTAAAATAAAAGGAATCGAATCTACAGTGAGCCAACCTCAACATTTAAAACATAACAGGTTTGTCTCCATAGTCAACTGAAGTTTCGTTTCTTGTGAGTAGTAATTAAACGTAACATACAAGAGATGCGGTATGGTTGTTGACATGCCGTGAAGATCCGGGGTAGAATAGGTCTTCAACAACCCATGTTTGCCGTAAAAGGCGACTATGCTTGTAAGAGGCGACTAAAGGGATCGGGTGGTCAGTCTCGCCGACTTTGTTGATGCATGTCATTGTATCTCATTTGTGAAGATCGATGCCCATGATGTCATTCACTGGATTGTCTGGTCAGGGTCGATTATTTATAGAGCGCCGTCATTTTGCAGGGATGTTACTGAGTTTTCAAACCTGGGACATGACAATTATCAGGAAAAGTATTCATGCGCGGTGAATAGTCCAAGAGATTTCCAGACATCGAATCCCGTTTAACAATGTTTACCAACCAGTCAGTTGCACCGCACACTCTTATTCGTTTCACAGTGCACAGTCCAGAGATATAACTGTTTCTTTCTGTCCCATATTTTGTTAGTTTCTGTTTATTTGACTGGTGTGTGCTGCAGGCCAAGGTCCTGCAAGACTCCAGGACTGTCGACAGCGCCGCCATTGAAGACATCACGCGACGGCTAGCAAACGCCACTTCCGTTGTAAGAGACCACCAGGGGGCGCAGCTATATCCGGGCGACCTGGTTTTCGCGACAGGGATCGTCCGAATAGTGTCGATAGCTGTGACCACTGCCCATGACATATCTGACCAACTGCAGTCGATCGCAGATGTAACTATTTTTCTTTTGCAACATTAGGTTATATACTACTCAAAAGAAGTTAAGGATTACCTGACACACACACAAACACACAAACACAAAACACACACACACACACGAAGCATGGGAAATTGCTGAAAGATCCATGATCCAGTTGTGTGCAGCCTGGAGACATGGTGCGTGTGACATGTGCAAGTTTGCCCACCAGGACTTGCTCGTTCATGTTGTGTGTATATGTCCACAGACAGAGCAACTCAGAGACAATTTCTGGTGTAGCTAAGTGGACACTTGTCCAGTGAAAGTCAGCGTGGCTCTCCATAACAAGCAGGAAATTAAGTTAGTTTGCTTTCTCCTTGCATGTAGGCCCACGATCCCAGCAAGTCCAGAGACTGTAGAGAATTTTGCAAAAGCTGCAGTCAAAGGTCTCTTCCAATTGAAGAAATATATAGACCTTGTGAAGAAACGTTATATGTTCTGACATGTGAGCAGGGATAGACTTTAACATAAGAATGCCTGTTTTCGAACACTTGTAAATTCTGTTTTTATATGTCTGTAACTCTCGTATGGAGGAATAAAGAATATATAGTAGATATATCAGTCCCTGTATTGTCTGGTCCATGACAATATCCCCAAACATATTGATGATCATGAACTTTTTTGGTTCAGTATATCTGAGATATTTTCTTGATGTACACAGCTGTATGGCGATGCCGTTGACAACATCGTTGACCCGGAGACAATCATCATATGGAGAAATACAAAAACGGTACGTGCACGCAAACTTATTATGCGACAAATATAACGGGAAGGCCGGTGGTTCGATCTCATGGCCGACTCATAGCAACAGACACGGTACTTGTCACCCTTCTTCCCGGGGCAAGGGAGTTAACTGACCATAAAAGTCCAGTTTCCTCCCTTGCCGAACAAGGCTGGTATTATGAGGTTGGATTATGGCTGGACTAACGAGTATATGCATAGTCCAATCAAAATCTCGCACTGAAATCGAAATCCGGTTCGTAAACTCGCATGCAGATTTCGAACGATTGCAGGATTGGCAAAGCATGTGCACTGCCAACTCGTTGTCAACAGATACTTTCCAAATCCATTCATGTTTTTAATCAAGGTGCTCACGTGATTTGTTTCACTTCGCGATGTAAGATACGTTTTATCACAATATAGATCTTGATTATCGATCAGATCGTCTTGACTGGGCGCCGCCATTTTGATTGAAGCAAATGCAAGTGATACGAGTGGTGACTCTCACTAGTAAGACAAATATTACCAGTGATACAATAGACCTAATGAAACTTTAGAAGTTTTAGAAATTGAGTAATATTCTGAAAGCGACCAAAGTCATCGAGATAATGGGTTGTCAGATTCCACTGGAGTGTTTTCTTATATGCAGAGCATGATAGGGGAGAAGATGACGTCTCTGCTGGAGTCGACGGAGGCTTTGGCTGAGAATTTGATGGTGCATCAATTTAGACGACGTCGATCTGTGAACTCCATCACGTCAAATGACCCTCTTATTGTCACATCAAGGAACCTGGGTAGGTCACGTGACTGTTGTCATGGAAACACATGTAATTAATATACACTTGATAATGTTGTTGTACTATTCTGCTACGAACTCGTAGTCCAGTGTCTATTCCGATGCTGGGGATAATATGGACCACCAGGACGCATGAAGTACAACGCTATGCTTAGTAACGATTGTTACATACGTAGGGGTATTTCAATGTTTTTAAATAAAAAAATTCATTAACAACTTAATCATAATATATTTACTTGGTCTCGTCGCTATATGGCTGAAATAATGCCGATGCGACGTTAAATTTTAACTCACTCACTCACTCACTCACTCACTCACTATATCATTGTATGATGGCCTAGTGGATAAAGTCGTGATATCATTTATGTTGAAGGGGCTTTGGGTTCTTATTGCAAGACATATTGGCAAAACTTTAACTTTAAGATTGAAATAGGCACAAATATGTTCTAGATACATTGGAGACTCGCGCCGATAAAACGGAAATAATATTCAAAAAGGCGTTGAATCCACGTTAAGATTGAGAGTTTGTTAATGCTGCTTAATGCCGCATCAGCAATTTTGCCGCCCTTTGCGGCGAGAGTCACTGACGTGATTGATATCAAGTACATTATAAAGTAACTTGACCCCAACTAACTCACTAACTTATCAGGCTTGGGTTTGTAATGCCGCTATCTTGTTGTAGAGTTCCGCGTCACCAGTGTCCAGAGAGGGGTCAACGTGACCCACCTTCCGGCGTTTGTAGGATCTGCAGACTCCAGCTTTATTGAACTGCCCTCCGCCGTGGCGGACATTGCGTCTGGACACACTGACGGTCAGTACATTCGAGATGACAATGGTCTTTCAGTACCATGGAATCATGACCTTGATTTGTTCTTAGAATCGTTAGGATTTGTCAGATGTTATCAAGTCGTCTCCGCTGTTTCAGGTTCGTCTTTCAACATCTACTACGCCAAGTTCCGGTCCGTAGCAACGTTGCTGTCGTTGAAGGAAGATCGACACAATGGGTAGGTTGCCCCTTAACGTGACGCCCAAACCTGTAACACGCCCCCTGAATCATGTCAGCGTCACGTGGGTGGAAGGGCCACAGTGATGGGGGGCCTTAGAAATCTACCACTTTGATGAAACCCAAGATTACGTGTATGGTCTGAGATTCGTACCCAGTATAAAAGATTTCTAGCACGCCTGATGAACGCAACTCAGCTAAGAACTGCGCATTTAGACAACTGGGCCACCCGTGCCCCCGATACGATACAATTTTTAAGGCAAACTGCTTTGTTCAATAGAACGAATCAAATATAGGTGCTAGACAAACAGATATTTACTACATTTGAGTGAAATAATAACTAGAGAACTTAGAAATACCGTATCAAATAGTGTGTATTACAATTCGTTTTCATATCATTTTACTCTTAATACATATTCGTATTGTTTTGTATCTGCACATGGCATACTTGTATCACGGCACAAAGAATCACGATGTACTGAACTTTCATACAAAACGCTATAAACCTATATAGAATTTTCGTTGGTAACGGACAGATGTTGTTTCAACAACACTTCCATTCTGTTGTTTCTGTTGTAACGTCAGCTCGGAGCCGGGTACAGTGGGCGTGGTCAACTCGGATGTGATATCCAGTCGGGTCCTCGGGGTGCCGGAGACCTCATTCAGGTCTCTAGATCAACCCGTCATCGTCACCTTCAGTCTCAAGGTCAGGGACACATTAGGATATTGTAGTATCACGTTGTTGTGTTTCGGTACAGTGATGGGTTAGTGAGTGTGTTTGGTTTATATTGCTGCTTTGAACAGTATTTCAACTTTATGATACTGTGTGTATCAGCTGAATGTGAGAGGAAAACCTACAAGCTGACTAACCAAGAGTGAGTGTGTGAGTAAAATTTAAAGTCACATCGGCAGTATTTCAGCCATATCGTGGCTTTCAAAGGTTATATATGATAAATACATGTAAACTAGAAAAACCTGTCACCAACGGACAGTAAAATAACTAGACTTATCACAGGTTATGATTTAAAACTAGCATGGAACCTTAAAAAAAACATTACTAGACAGAACAATACATAATAAAAAGCTACAGATCGCCAGCAACTGAAGGTAGATCACCACACTAGGGACCATGGGGACTTACAGTACTTTAGCTTCCTGCATGAACCCTAGCAGGATTTACATCATTCTTCAGGTGTTGGCGATTATTGTCAATTTAGCCGAATTAAAAGAACATATATTTGCGATTAAAATCGTGGCAGTAATAAATATACTGTGACTGACGTGGACTTACGTACCATCTCCGGGGGACGACAAACCAAGAAACATAATCAGGGTAAATCAGGGATGCGAACCCTGGGAGCCAGAGCGAATTGCCTCAGGTTGTTGCTGCATACTTCCTGATATCTCCCCTAGGCGAGGTCGTTAACTGACTATAAAAGCCCAGTTTCCACCCTTCTGAACTGGGCTGGAATTTCCAGACTCGATCGTAGCGCTAACAGTGGTTATTACGAGTTATGTCCCTTCTATGTCCCTCCTATTGATCAATCAGGATCCATCTCTCATATCACTTGTATTTGCTTCCAATCAAATGACACAAAGACTGTGCAAAGTTAGTGATTAGCGAGGTGGAGATGACGTCACGTCCGAAACGAAGCTATGGTGGGGAATGGACCCAGAATAATCGAGGATGCAGTGAACCATGCCCTCCAATATGCATATAGAATAATGAGTTTATTCAGAAGCTCTAAGGCTACAGGCCCATATATATACAAAGCCGTGATATTTGACATAACAATGAATATATACATATGCCTTAATAAACGTTGCATGTGGAGCGACTTTATAAACTTCATAGCGTGGTATATAGTTAGACAGCACGTTTACATGTTGAAGACATAAGATTTACAAAATTACTGAAAGATGGATGAGTGAAGGGATGCGCATCAACATGGCGAGTTCGTAATTCTGAATATTGTTATCATTTTCGACATTGCCCGATCCAAAATGTACACAATATTTACATAAACGTTCGTCTGGGTTTTCACCTTTATGTCTTCTTGTCTCCACTCTGAGCTTATGCCAACATGCATATATATTAATTATACCAGTGATAATGCCAGTGCAGAGTCTGTACCTGCATGTCCTGGGCCCCGTTCCACAAAGCAATCTTAGCGCTAAGATGGTCGTAACTCCCATACACTGGCTTACGATAGTCGTAGCGCTAAGATCGCTTTGTGGAACGGTGTCCTGGACATTAAGTTTGATTTTACTGATCCAGAACACAACACTGAGGGGCAACCTGACTGAGTACTGCGTCTTCATGAACATGACAGCTCTGTAAGTACATAGGTAGAGATTAGTACTTAAATGTGTGCGTGTGTCTTTGACGACACCAGTGACAGAATTTTTGTCCCGATCAACCGCGTCAAAATCAGTAGTGAGTGAGTATGGTTTTACGCCGCTCTTTGCAATATTCCAGCAATGTCACGGCGGGGAACACCAGAAATGGGCTTCACACATTGTACCCATGTGGGGAATCGAACCCGTGTCTTCGCCGTGTCGAGCGAACGCTTGAACCCCCGTCCCCTGATATCAGCAGGCTACCCATAAAATGGAAAATTATATCACTTTCAACACTTTAGTAGCTGCAGAGAAGATACCCTTGTCTACACGACCTCAACAAAGCTCCCGTGTGCCTTCATCATCTGTTGTGATGTAATAATAAATCACAATAATGATTCAGGCTATTATCTAGCAGTAGAGGTTATTCAACGAAAGTTGTATTCTACTAAGGACACTGACCAATGTGATCATTATATGCTATGAAACATGTACAGGTCTGACAAAACCCGATGGTCCCGTGATGGATGCCAGCTGAAGAGCTTTAACGGAAGTCACGTGACCTGTCATTGCTACCATCTGACAAACTTTGCCATTCTGATGGACGTGTATGGGACCTCGGTAGGTGGCGCTGTTTATTTGAGATGAAACGGTTGTGTTTATCGTATTGTTGGACATATTGTGTGAAGTTAGAATGAAAACAACGTGGTAACAGATTGTAAGCCTATGTTACAGTATAGAAGTTACGATCATCTTAGCGCTAAGATCGCTTTATGCAAGTGGGCCCAGGTGTTCGCGAAATTGTAAACATATCACCCGCCACTCACACAATTTGCATAAAAATGTAAGCGTTTGTTCGTCCTCCGCTAATACACCTGCCAGAGGACTTCTGCTTGCGGACAATCGTCTGGACCAGACAATCTGGTGACACGATAACGCGTTTACTTATTTCGTTGAAACTACATATGTTAACTTTGAATTACATCTGCTGCGTACAATACAAGTGCAGCGATTCTAAAGACAAAGGTTCTTGACTTATGGGTTGATCTGAAAAAGTGTGCAACAGAATAAGTCTGGAGCCGCTGTTTTTACCAGGCACTTTCACCCAAACCCGACTGTTTAGGCCATGTATATATATCATGTATATCTTGTGTACGGTGAAACCTCTTTAGTCCGGAAACCCCACAATCTGTGCGAATACTATGAACGAACATACAGTTAAAGGGACAGTACTTCGTTCCTAGGTCCCCGTGAAGATCCGGGGTAGAATAGGTCTCCATCAACCCATGCTTGTCCTAAGAGGCGACTAACGGGATTGGATGGTCAGGCTCGCTGACTGGATTGTTGCATGCAATCGTACCCCAATTGCGTAGGTCCATGCACATAATAGTTTTTTCAATCACTGGAGCGTCTGGTGCAGACTGGATTAATAATAGACCGTCGTCATTAAGCTGGAATATTGCTGAGTGCGGCGTTCCACGGATTCGTTAATCCGGACTTTTTTTAATCCACACGATATCACTAGGAACGGAACCGTCTGGAATAAGGGGGTTTCACTTCATAGCTTACATACCTGTTGCAGGAGCAGCTGGACGACAGTAACAACCTTGTGCTATCCTACATCTCCTACATCGGCGGCAGCCTCTCCATCCTCGGCTGTCTCGCCACCATCATCGTCTTCCAGTACTTCCGGTAACGTTGTCATGGCTATAAGGCCATCCTTAGCTGTCTTTCCTCAAAACTTTCATTTTTGATACCGCATCGTCATCATTCAAAGACATTAATAAAACATTGATATAGAACTTGTACGTCTTCTTTTTTTAATATTCTTTCATTAATTAATTATTTCAGACTGCGCAGTGACCGAGTGCGCATCCATGAACAGTTAGCAGCGTGTATCATCTGTGTCCAAGCTGTGTTCTTGATAGGGTTCAGCCGCACGGAGAACAGCGCCACGCCAACAGTAAGACTAGTATAGACTTAATACTACTCAGAAATTGGCAGTATATTGTGGTAGACATTGTCGTCTATGTTAAATTATGAAAGTTATCATAGTTGCGACACTCGTACCGCTACGGTCGCTTCGTGTAACGGGGTCCTGGCAACATCTCTCATGTACTCAAAATCAACAGTGTGTCTATTACTGCAATATTACTCATAATGTCTCGTAGCCTCCGTTTAGACGACACATGACAAATGCCTCAATGTCCCAAATACTAACATCAGCGGAAAAAATTGTCATATTTTTTGTCGCCCCAAAATATCTTGCGAGGTGTACACATGCCTCCGTGTTAATTTACATTCGTAATCACGAAGGCTACGCATGCGCACCGATAACCGGATATATTTTGGCCGATGTCTGTTGGCTGAATGCGCGAACCAACAGTAGAACCAGTTTTAGTCCTGGCTAGGTCTCATCCACTTTGTGTGAGACATTGAATCGTTCTCTCCAACTACAGTGGGCGTGCAAGACGGTGGCCATCCTGCTGCACTACTTCCTGACCGCCATGTTCTGCTGGATGCTCGTGGAAGGCATCCATCTTTACGTGGCGCTCGTCAAGGTCTTCAAACGCGGCAGTCATATCAAGAAATACGTCGCCATTGGATGGGGTAGGTACCGTACATGACGCAGTCCCAGGCGTTCCCCTCAAGAACGAACTTTATCCATAAACAAGCGACAAAACTCTTTCCATGATTAGAGTGAGTGAGTGAGTTTATGCTTTACGTCACATCGGCAATATTTCAGCCATATCGTGACGATTCCATGATTAGAAGACATCTCTGCTATATTGTACGATTCCGACTTTATCAGAAGTCTGTGTTTATGAACCACTAATAAGTATACCGGGTGTTCGCGTAAAGGTGAGCGTAACCTGCTCCATCGGTGGCACCCGTCACAAACACATGCAATGACAAGTCAAGTGTTCACCTGAACAAACACGGGAATATGTGGTACACATTCAAATAGGGAATTGCATCAGACATCATTTTAGTCAACGATGCGTCAAATCTGGAAAGGTCATCCACGTGTCCAAAATAAAACGATTTGAAAGGTTTACTGGAGCCTTTAATGCTGTAACACTGATCAAACAACCTTTGAGTGAGAGTCGTGCGATGCACTTTGAAATCTTTATTGTACCTCCAAAATTTGGAAATGTAGATCCTAATTCTGGAGCTGGTAGAATATTGCTGGACATAAAGGAAAGTTGACGATTGAAAATTTGAAAGTCATCACTCTTGTAATAGTCTGTTATGTATTTGTATCACTCTTTTTCCGACGTGACAATGATCAGTCTGATAGCCATAAATAAAGAATTGTTTGTATCTTTAAAAGTTGACTGTAACGTACACTTCATATCCCCAGGGGTTCCGCTGGTGATTGTTGGGATCTCAGTGGGCGTGTTCTATCACAGCTACGGAACTAACAAAATGTAAGTGCGATGTACGTGTAAAACATGTAGGTTTACATTAAATGTGATGTAAATGTAACGTCGTCTATAACATGTAAATGTAATAACAGTGATAACAAAGTCACACACAATGTACCCTTCCTGTAGGCTTACGATTTTGTACAACAGTTTTGGGGGGTTGGGTGTTCTAGTCATCTCAAGCGCTGTAATTTTCTGTGCAGATTTCTGTCCCTTAGGTTTGTCAGGATCCTATGATCGTGGGTAAGACTCGCCCTGATTCTGATTTGATGTTAAACCCACTCACTCACAAATACAACGCTTGGTTAACAACAGAGTCACACTTTGTAATGACAATGGCATCCAGATTTATTGCTGTTGCCTTGATACCCTGTTGAATTAGCATTGGATATTGGTGATAAGACTTGACCAATGGTTTGCTGGGCAAGTCGAGGAACCTGGTTGATTCCTCATTTCAATACTTTATGTCAAACTCAAAATGCACTTCAGCGTGATGTTACGGTAATATTGCTGGAAGCGTCAAAACAGTATCAACACCTCACTTACCATTCACTAGCTCTCAGACATGTGATACACGATGATAGTGATGAGTGAGTATGGTTTTAAGCCGCTTTTAGCAATATTCCAGCAATATCTCGACGGGAGACGCCAGACATGGGCTCCACATATTGTACGTATAGGGGAATCGAACCTGGGCCTTCGGGGTGACGAGCGAACACTTTAACCACAAGGCTACCCCACCGCCTCCACAATGAGAGTAATATTGACATGTTATGATCCAGCTGCTGGCTGAACAACGAGATGCTGTTGGTGTGCTTTGTGCCTACCGTAGGCCTCGTGGTGGTGGTGAGTGTTTCCCATTTCAGCTGTCGAATTTCCGTTTTTCACATTGCTGAAACGCACTCGTGAAATACGGGTCAGAATAGGTCTTCAGTAATTCAAACTTGCCGTAAAAGGCGACTATGCTTGTCGTAAGAGGCGACTAACGTGATCGGATGGTCAGGCTTGCTGACTTGGTTGGTGCATGTCATCGTATCCAATTGCCTTGATCGACGCTCATGATGTCAATCACTGGATTGTCTGGTCCAGACTCGATTATTTACAGACCGCCGTCTTATAGCTGGAATATTGCTGAGTGCGGCGTTTAACAACAAACAAAACATTGCTGAAATTATGTTACGGTATTCGTAGTTGATATCACTGAGTGTATACGTGGAGCATTTAGTTTTACACATTGCTGAAGTGATGTCCTTACCGTATCCCTTTTTAGAATCAACAAACAGCTGGACAGCAAAATTATACGATTATGATGACGTCACACATTTGGTCTTGCAGTTGATTCTGAGCCAGGAATTCACTGGCCATTCTGAATCTGCATTCTAAACAAGTAAATCTGACGCAACTAATGTTCATTATGCAAAATGTTATGAGAAATAATATATCAACCATAGCATGGTGTAAGATTAAACAGATTGTAATGATGTTTCCATGACGTAGATCAACACGGTGATCCTGTGTATGGTGCTGCGGGTGATGTTGAGGTCGTTACACTCGTCGGCTAAAGTCGTCTCCAGCAAGGAGGAGAAGTCAGGACTTTGGTAATATCATGACATTCCACTACTATAGGAATTGTGTACTGTTCATTCCTATTAATACAAAATGCCATTTAAAAAGTGGTTCAAGTGTAACAAATGTTATATTTGGGATAACACTTTCTTAGAAAAGTACATATTCGGCCATGGGAGCCGTGCCAATTTACACGTATCAGAGGGGTACACAAAGTACGTGATCTAGACTACCAGTTGTCGGACTTCAATTTTTGTGGAAGCCTCGGTGGCTGAGTGGGTTATATCGCTGACTTTGTGTGCGGGTGATTAGGTGCCTCACTCTGGGAGTGTGGGTTCGACTCAACCCAAAAAAAGTACCAGAATTTGTTCTTTACTACTAAGTGTTATCCCAATATAACATTTGATATGTTCATTCCTATTGTTGGACGTAGCTTAGGGTTCCCATCTCACCATTCCGTGTCGTCATTGCGAGTCTGAGATGTTACTCTGTAACTCACATGGCAGGGAGAGGTTCTACGAGTCTTGAACCGATGGGACCGTAATGCCTAATTACCTACATGGACATCCATTTGGCAATACAGACTTGGGGAGAGTGTTTTGTAACACTCAATTTTTATGCATAGATCTAAATATGAAACAGAAGAGGCGGTCTCACCGGTCTTTCTTATTTCTAGCCTAGTTGGGTAAATCAGTGGAAGAGAATTGGCTATTCCATGGTTATTGAACGATGCCAGACCATCCATATACCTGAAGCTTAAGTTAAACTTTTAGGCCAAATTACCTTATTTTGACTTTGCCAATTCGAGCAAAAATTCTTATCCTTGTGCATTAAGAAACAGATAAGCAAGAAGGGGAGCATAATTGGTGTCCATGTTGTAATCGACAACTTGAATAATTAGATTCGGCTCCATCTCAAGACCGCACTACCAATACTGCTTAGCCATAGTATATTTAAGGACCGCCTCCGTTGTCTAGTGGTAGAGCGTCCGCCCGTCGCTATATAAGTGCAATAATCTTGGACGCGACATTCAACCCCATTTCACCTCACCACCATAGTATATTTCATATACCAGCAGCCACGAGCTTTCATTTTGATTTGTTAAGGAACATGTAAGACCCTGGTCATGTCCATGTCGTTTATGCCGTGATCGGATGATTCATGACCTGTCAGTGACTGGAGCCATCATCGCCTGATTCCCTAGCCGTATCACTAACTAGCATCTTAACTAGCGAGAAGGTGCACCTTCATTTTGTATGAATTCCCAAGGCTTTTGGAAACCATTTCAAACTGTTGTACACGCTGATTTAGCTGTTCCGTTGTTTGAACGTTTAACATATACGCGACACACAATCCCACTTAAAGTAATCCTAAAGAATATTATGTACATGTTTTTGATTCATTTAAATGAAGACACAAATTATTATTGTTGTTGTTGTACGTCTAAATGAGTGAATGTACACTGACTGGTTCAGGATGAGCTTGAAGGCTGCCGCCGTGTTGCTGCCATTGTTGGGGCTGACGTGGATGTTAGGATTCCTGGCAGTGGACGTCCCCGGCACTGAAGTCCTCGGCTACGTCTTCACGTACCTCTTCACCATCTGCAACAGCTTCCAGGTAACGACAGGACACTATGGTGACATCGGCCTTCGTAGCCACGCTAAATTGTACCAAGGGCATGTAAAATTACAATGAAGGTAGTCCTCATTGGCTTGTAGCAATTCTAAACCAGTTCTCAATGCTCCAATTTTGCTGCAATTTGGAACTGAATAAAACTGACACAGTAAGGATGTTTGTCTTGTTCAAGAATGACCAGCTAAATGATCTGAGGACTAGTGAAATGAGGTTTACGTTAGTCTTAAAAACGAATTTCTAAGGCTATGATTATACATGGAGAATTTGAATAGGCTAGTCCTTTATTTGTTTTTTTTGTCATATATCCGTTTGTTTTTCAGGGTGTCGTTTTCTTCCTGTTCCACTGCCTACTCAACTCTGACGTGAGTATAGCGTACTCTAAACAATATGTTGATATTATTATATTAAGCGCAGTGGAAACAAGCCAAAAAATATTTTAGAATCGGAATTAAACCTGAACAGATTTTAAGTTATGTGCAACATACCCGTTATATCAACACATAAACGAGGCACCCAAACACGTTGTTAGTGCGTTCCTCCATGGGACTGAACCAGTCCTTTCACCAAACTACATTTTATAAATAACATATAAACATGGAGGAACAGTTCTTTCCTCGTCATTGGTGTGTTCCGGATGCAAGTTTCGGGTTTTTCAGTTGTGCTTGTGGCGTGTTATTTATGGTAATATGTGACATTATTTGCCTTAAATGGTGATAGAAATGGAGACGGTTGCAATCTAGTTTGGGGCGGTTGGTTAGCCTAGTGGTTAAAGCGTTTGCTCGTCACACCGAAGACCCGGGTTTGATTCCCGACATGGGTATATTGTGTGAAGTTGATTGGGTAGATCGATGCTATAAGTGTCAATCACTGAATCGTTTTGGTCTGATTCGATTATTTGCAGAACGTCATCATATAGCTTGGCTATTGAAGAGTGCGTCGTTAAACAAACTTATCCTAAGTATATGAGTGTTTAGTTTGTGTCTACTACATATCTAAAAATGATATCTCAAGAGTGAGAGCGTTGAGACTTCCATAATATTGCTGGAATATTGCTAAAAGCGGCGTAAAATCTAACTCACTCTCTCACTCACTTCATAAAACATAAACAGACCTGAGTTGGGGCTGGATCTTTTTGTAGGTGCATTCCGCCTATGACCGTCGGTACAAGAAGAGGAAACGACTGACAACAATGACATCTAACGACATAACGACACTGCGGCGGAAGAAGAGCTCCTCCGACAACGACACCTATGTTGCCGAACCTTCAACCGTGAAAACATCGGTAACGTTACAGCTGCTCAACCACAGTCCATGTTGTCAGTCAGTGTGTGAGTGTGGATGTGGGGCGGTGGCATGGCCAAGTGGTTAAAGCGTTCTCTCGTCACGCTGAAGACCCGGGTTCAATTTCCCACATGGGTACTATTCGTGAAGCCCATTTCTGGTTCCCACGCCATGATATTTCTGGAATACTGCTAAAAGCTGTGTAAAACCTTACTCACATAGTGGATCTCATTACACTGCCTCCATGTTCGTTTTTAATCCGATAATCCGGACTATTATTCTTTCAACCGTCTGGGTTAACGAAGATTAATAAAGCCATATCTGATAACATTCAAACCAGAATATTTCTAATTGTCTAAGTTGTTGATCTCGAAATTAACGAATTATATATAAAATTATAGAACGCAGAACTTCAACTGATATTCTGTTCAAGAGAAGCTAAGGACCACTTGATTCTTTCATTCTACTATAGTTAATCTGCCATGGTACACTTTGTTTAAATGCTTTCGTAAGAGACGACTAAAGGGATCGGGTGGTCAGGTTCGCTGACTTGGTTGATGCATGTCATCGTATCTTAATTGCGTGGATCGATGCTCATGATATCGATCACTGGATTGTCTGGTCCAGACTCGATTTTTTACAGACCGCCACCATATTGCTGGAATATTGCTGAGTGCGGCGTTAAACAACAAACAAACGAACAAACAATTTGTTAAAGTTTATTGAAACGTAAACGCAAAACATATTACTTGGTTGGCCAATCAAATGCCATGAAATGACTTGCAATGTTTTTCTATATGTTGTATTTGGTAAAGTTCTCTCCCATAGTACACGCTGTAATGTATAATGGGTCCAGTATTACTATCTGAGTTGTACATCTGTATTTCCTGATGTGTTAGATTTATGTTTCAGATGGACAAAAACTTCGACATTTCATTCGTTGCGCGGAAAGACAGCAGAACGTACCCCGATGAACAGATGCAGCTGGAACGTCAACACAGCAACTTCGAAGACTACGATGTCTCCGACACCGAGAAAATATGGCGTCGCAACTCTGTGGACCAGGACATGCGCTATGACTCCTTCCCACGTCACTTCCGGCAGATTGGCACCTACAATGCCGGTTTCTCTAATGCAAACGACATGGAGTCCGCGTTCGATGGCCCTCCATCAACGGTCAAGTTCCACTGATGGATGGTCCACAGACTGATTCATTCGTCTTATCAACTTGTTTCCTTCTGTAAAACTGCAATATGTTTGTTCGGACGCATCGGTGATAAAAACATTCAAAGATTACATCAACCATATTTTATTTGTCTTATTTGGTATGTTTTTTAAATTGTTTTCATCCCAATACCGAAATGGACATGGACCGGAAATTCCCTGATAGGCGTGCGTTTAAGTTGAAGCAACCATCACCATTAAATGTATCTTGCAACCAAGTAACAGTTCAAAGGTCTACAGATAAGTTGTCAATGACCGTATGACCGACATGGTAAATATCCAGTCAGTATCCAGTTGTCAGTAGACATTAATGATATATACTCATCTTTTTACATGCCACTTTCGAGGTGCATTCCTCTGCTCTATTAAACCCTCCCATTCTACACATTCCTAATGGTTCAAATTTAGTTTATAGTTTATAAGAATTAAATAAATGTCGTTATGTTTAGTATTTTTTTCTAATTTGTTTTATGTATCGTAATCATATCATGGTTCAGTGCGTTTTAGATTTTGTCTGATCAGTTTGCTAGTATTTGTATTTTCACATCTAAATTATTATATTCCTATATTGTTTTGTCATAAATTATTTCCAAATGGATAATCAAATATCTGGGTTTTTAAGTAGAAAGGTATTTTATAATTCAAGATGTTATGTTTTAAGTGTCAATGTCAATACTACCGTTCTTTTGAAAGGTTTTGTGAAATAAAACAATTTATTATTTATAAATGTGACTTCATTTTATTATGTTTCAACCTGTCTTTACGAGGGGTGATTGGTAGCTTCTGCGCCTCACTCATGAGGAATAATAACTTGACTAAAAGATATTAAATAGAGGATATTTCATGTGTCGAGCGAAATATCATGTTTTTCTTATCGAGTAGGGGGCACGGGTGGCCCAGTCGTCTAAGTAGCCGCGATTAGCTGTGCAGAGTTGCGTCCCTTGGGCACACCAGAAACCTATGATTGTGGGTTCGAATCCCGGTTCGCCCCGATTATGTTTCTCGGGGGTTTCACCGAAGTGGTAAACGTCTCAGACCTGCATCACTTCGGGCTTTCCTCCCACATTAAGCTGACACGCCGCGATATAACTGGAATAATGTTAAAAGCGGTGTTAAACCCAACACACTCACTCATTTCACCAAAGTGGTAAACGTCTGATACCTGCATCACTTCGGGCATCTGAGGGCATTGAGTTTTTAGTATAAGTTGTGATGGTGGGCAACCTTCAGTACAAACTCAGCTGCTACCGCAAGAGAAGATTTATGTTCATGGTTACCGTGTATTGCAGCAATACGTGGATATCATACTTCACAGATCAACTGACTATTCCACACACACCACTAATATAAATATATTAATGTCATTTTATAGATCGAAGATAATGGTCAATGTATAACATTTGAAACATGTAATAATCAGTATGTCAATGCTAACATATCAAAGCACTTTTATTGCTACACTGTTCGAGAACAAACTCCCAAATTGTTGGACAAAAACTTCCACTCTCCGTCCGCACTGCAAGAAGCTGATTGGCTTGTACCTCGGAAACGGAAGTTGTTTTTGCAAGAATACCAAGCCTCGTTTCCGTCTCTAGTCACAATCGTGTTGTTCAATGGTGGTGGCTTCGGACATTCTGAAACAGGTAGCGCTCAACTATAGACCAATAGAGTAACCAGTGACTGTTTTAAAGTTTTAAAGGTGAAATTGCAGTCCAAGCAAGCCCGAACCAGTTACTCTATCTGCAACCAACACCGGGTGGCATCACTATCACCACTATCATCAGCAGCAGAAATTTTTTTTTATTGTGGAAATGGTTTTGTCGCTTTTACTTACATCAGTTTCTTTGATATCAGGGTTTAACGCGACATGACAGCATTTCAAAAGTCTCTCAGCTGCACGTGGGAAAAAGTCCAAAAGGACCCGTTGAACCTGGTTGTCACAATGGGTTTAACGATATTAGGGTTTAACGCAGCGTGACAGCATTTCAAAAGTCTCTCAGTTGCACGTGGAAATAAATCCAAAAGGACCCGTTGAACCAGGTTGTCACAATGGGTTTAACGATATTAGGGTTTAACGCAGCGTGACAGCATTTCAAAAGTCTCTCAGTTGCACGTGGAAATAAATCCAAAAGGACCCGTTGAACCCGTCGTCACAGTACGATCTAAGCACCACGACTATGTTAAAGTAGGGGAGTTGCGACCTTAACTCTGGGATCAGTTGGCATGAAGGATCTCTGGTCGAATCCCACGAGCACAGGTAAATGAGATTCGAACCCACGTTGACTGAATCTTGGCAGCTTAGGGCCACTTTTCCACTACATATAAAACCTTAATTACGGTGTGTAGTACTATGTACCTGAAGTGAAAATCACAGAGTATTTGGAGCTGAAGGCAGGGTCGTTGGTGTCTTGGTTGGTTGGACAACATTCCCCAGTAATTGTTGATACGGCATAAACTACGTTTCACTCGCTCACGCCACACTGTGTCGTATCACATAAACATATAGCTTCGACAACAACGAAAACCTGCTGAACCAACCTGGAGATCCAGCTGTTCCTTCTTCCGCCCACTGTTGCCCAAGTGCCTCGGGACTGGTATCAAGGTGAGCTGCCTCCCCCTGTAACGCCCTGAGATCCCAGCGACACGCCGATAACTCCTGCAAATCGGACACGAACGTTTCTTCCAGCGTGAAGTTCCATCCATCATAGACAGGTGCTTCTGCCTTCACTACAACCTTGTTTGGATCGAACCTGGACCTAGCGCCAGTCTCGTACACAAAAAACAGCACTACCCACAGAGCTAGCTTCATAGTGTTTTTTAAGGTGTGCAAACTGGGGCCTACTAGGGCCTGGAGTACGTGTCGCCAGTCAGAGAAACACAGTTCAGACGAATGAAAAACTATTTGAACACAGTTATATCAAATTTCCAATTTTCCTCACAAGAACAATGGTATGTGTCGATAGGTTTATCCTACTTTCAGCATAAAGAGTACGATTATAGAAAATTAAAATGATTGCCATAATGATGGTTAATTGTATTGCCTCGTTTATTTCCTATATTCGCACGCACCAATGACATGCAACGACAAAGGGTCTATAATTGCTGGAGCGGCATGAATCAATATTCACTCACCAAATCAGAAGATCGATTTGCTGGTAAACAAATAACGTAGGAAGATTATCTCTGGGTTTAACAGCATTGGCTCAATTTGTCCACGTTGGTGGGAGACTCGCTGTTTATATGTGTCTTGTGCAACTGTTGTTTTTGTTTATCTGTTTTAAGTTAAACGCTGCACTTAGTATTGATCCAGCTGCATGACGTTGGCCTGTAAATAATCGAATCTGAACCAGTCAATCCAGTGATTGATATTGTGAGCAACGATTCACGCCGTCTGGTACGATGACATGAAAACCGATGACATGCAACGACAAAGGATCTATAATTGCTGGAGCGGCATGAATCAATATTCATTCACCGAATCAAAAGATCGATTTGCTGGTGAAACAAAGCTGGGTTTAACATAATTGGCGCAGTTTGTCTATGTTGGTGGGAGACTCCCTCTGGGTCTATTTGCCTTTTGCAACTGTTGTTTCTGTGTGTCCGTTTCACGTTTAACGCTGCACTCAGCATTAATCCAGCCTGTAAATAATCGAGTCTGGACCAGACAATCCAGTGATTGATATTGTGAGCAATGTTACACGACGTCTGGTACGAGGACATGCAATCCACAAAATCACCTATCCTGACCAACCGATCCATTTGGTCGCCTCTTGCGGCCAGCACAGGCTGTTTGGGCCAATTCTAACCCGATGTACGAGGCACAAATGACTCCCCAGGCTCAGACGACTCCCCTTAGGCCCAAACGACTCCCCCGTCGTAGGCTCAAATGACTCCCCCATGTGTCGTACACAAATGATATTGTCGGGGATCAAAGTTTTTCTGCTTACAGTCAGGGGGCATCTCCTCGAGGCAGGGGAGTTAACTGACTATTTAAGTCCAGTTTCCACCCTTGCCGAACTAGACTGGAATTTCTGGGTTCGATCGTAGCGCCACCAGTGGTTAGTACGAATTGTGTCCCTTCTATGCCTCTCCTATTGGCAAATCAGATTCCACGATCTGATCAATAATCAAGATCAATATTGTGATAAAACGGGTCTTACAGCGCAAAGAGCATCAAATCACGCGAACACCTTGATTAGAAACATGAAAAGATTTGTAAAATATATGCTGACGCCGAGTTGGCGGTGCACATGCTTTGCAAATCCTGCAATTGACCGAAATCTGGACGATAGCATACAAACCTGATTCCGATTTCGTTACGCGATGTTGATTGGACTATGCATAGACTCGTTAGTCCAGCCAACATAACTCCATAATACCCGCCTTGTTCGGCAAGGGTGGAAACTGGATTTTATATAAAGTCAGTAACTCCCTTGCCTCGGGAAGATGGTCAGGGATGACGCCACCAGCCACCGCTTTCAACTGAGATCAAAACATCAATGTCCATTAAGCTTTATTTAGACTTCTAAATCCCAATCCCACTTGTTTGTACTGTTTACTTAGTGCATGACTTAATTAATTAAACCATACAGTTATCTCGTTGAAATGTATTTGTTTGTTTGTTGTTTGTTTATCGTTTAACGCCACACTCCACTGTAAATAATCGAGTCTGGACCAGACAATCCAGTGATTGACATCATGAGAATCGATCAACGCAATTGGGATACGATGACACGCCTCAACCAAGTCAGCAAGCCTGACCACCAGATCCCGTTGATCGCCTCTTACGACAAGCATATTCGCCTGTTACGTCAAGCATGGGTTGCTGAAGACTTATTCTAAGCCGGATCAGTTGAAATGTAAACGCCGATTTAAAAAGTTTTTTGTGGTGCATGAAAGAATTTTGGGGGGTTTGGTTTACGTCTCCAGCAACCAACGCTGGTCGTCAGGGGAAACCAAATGGATAAGGTTTCAAAATTTTAGATTTTTGGCGACAACGCGACATATTTTGACCTTGAAAAATATAATAGTCTCTCATTGTCTCCCTCTGGTTAAATTCCAAAATATTGTCCAATGCGACACATGATCAAATGTCGCGTTGTCAACTTTGCATAATTGTCACACTTTTAGCTGTTTTTTGCACACACAAAACAACGTGTCCCTTCTAGAATTCAATTGTTAACCTATCTAGGGACCAAAGCACTTGTTCGTGCACTGATTTCAACAGTCTGTAAAAACACCCTTTACTGTATATCGTGCTAAGTTTCAAAATCACAAACCACAGAACATTCGCTTTGGCACAACTTTGATGTGACCCACAACTCCGAACTCTCAATGCAGAGGGAACTTGTGTTTGTTTCTTTGATTTGTTAATGACAGCAGTTTACTTTGAATTATGAAACAACAATCCCTATAGTGTTCTTACGATGTATCCTATTATCGATGTGAGTCAATGAACACTTCAAGTAGCTATTGTGGTGTGGACCGCCTCCTTGGTCTAGTGGTAGAGCGTCTGCCCGGAGAGCGGAAGGTCCGGGGTTCGATCCCCGGCCGCCTCATACCAAAAGACGTTAAAAGATGGTACTTGTTGTTACCCTGTGGGACTAAAACAAGGACTGGTCGGCTCCACGTCAGTATACTGTGTCTGAGTGGGATATTCATGTTAAACTGCGGCATGGTATCTCAGTGAGCTAGCACTATAAATCGGCATCAGTCCGGACTAGTACAAGCAGCCACACAAAGACATACACGTACATGCAGGTCGCTATATAAGTACAATAATCTTGAACGCGACGTTAAACCCAATTTCACCTCACCTCACCTATTGTGGTGTGCCAACGTATAGCGTGACTATATATCATTTGTCACGAATCTGTTTATTTCTTGTTAACAAGGGTTATTATTGTAAGTAGCCTCATTATTTTTATCACAGTGAATGTGTTATTATATATTTGTTAAGTGTTTAAAAAGAGTATTCATTTGTTTTGTTCACACCGATCAGTCTAGGGAAAAGGCAGGTACATGCATTTAGGCATCGTCGTGATCGTGGGAACTGCTTTCAGGTGAATTAAATTGTGTAACACCCCACAACCACTGATGAAGTATGGAACCGTGTTGACAGTGTGCCATGTCATGGTTACTATGGTAACGTGTCAGGACATAGATGACTTCGTGCCTCAGAAAGTACAGAAGATGTTCCGTGTTCTGTCACAAAGTAAAATGGTTGACACTCCTCCACGTGCGCGTTCTGCGGGGACGCCTGTGGGTCCATTGGTTGCTCTTCGGGAAGATCTGGACACGTGCAGAGCAGACGTCGCGAGACTGAAGAACAGATTGAAGAACCTAAGCACCCAGGTGTCAAGTTCCCCGGATGCCGTACAAATGCCGGTTCCGGTTGAAGGTGGGAGAACTTCTATTTATCTCATTTTCTGTAAAATATATTTTATGATATTTTCATGACGAGGTGACTATGTTGACTGAGCATAACCCGGAAGGCGTGGGTCGATGCTCATGGTATTGATCACTGGTTTGTGACGTTAAACAACAAAGTAAGAGAGTGAGTATGGCTTTACGCCGCTTTTGGCAATATTCCAGCAATATCACGGCAGGAGACACCAGAAATGGGCTTCACACATTGTACTCGTGTCGGGAATCGAACCCGGGTCTTCGGCGTGACGAGCGAACGCTTTAACCACTAGGCTACCCGACCGCCCCTTAAACATTAAAAAGGAAATGTTCAAATAGAATGTATGGCGGAATGTGACACTTCCACAGAACTAATATAATTCCTTTGTTGACAAGGTCATTGTCCGAAGCCTGTTGCCCCGGAGTACGGCCACGTTGACTACAGCAGCACGATATTTGGTGCCACTGCCAACATCGTCTGTGACGACAACTACACCTACCTGGGTCAGGGTTCACAGATCACGTGCACGGCGAGTGGAGCATGGAAGTCCTATACAGACGAGACGGGCCAGTGTTACGAATCTACTTGGACTAATCCCGTAATCACATTTCATTTTCTTGACACTCTTCCGAAAGTGTCGTGCATTGAATAATTCCAATCGATAATTGTTTACTGAACAATATAATAAGCATTATACATAATTCATATGCGAGTAATTATAGCCACATAAGTAACTGTAAGTACTTACAAGATAATCCTATTTATGTTAAAAAAAATTCAATAAAGAACAATTAGGTGTTCAGTTGTTCCCCAACTAAACAGGAATGTCATCTTGATTACGATGGGTTAGTCTCGCTATAGGGACAGAGCGTTCGAGGGATGGCTGGAGAGTTCTGATTCTTACTATGAAGGACTGATTGGTTGCTGGATATAACCCCTCCGGTCTAGACATGTACATTCCTGCCAACGATGCTGGAGCGCCTGAACCCAACTGATGTAGAAGGCCTCCTCCTGGTGGTGCAAAAGGTCCTTCACAGCAGAAATATCATTATTTGCACATACCTTATAATAATACTTGAACAAATCTTTTAACGTCTTTTGGTATGACGCGACCGGGGATCGAACCTTCGACCTGGCGCTCTCCGGGTAGAGGCTCTTCCACTAGACCACGGAGGCGGTTGCAATGCATGACTGTGGCTTGGAATCTATCAAATATCCTCCGTTGTCGACAGATATGGCACCGTCAGATTTCCATCTCTTCTCAAGCTTCACGAAAGAACTGTCTGGCAAGAATTTTGATAAAATGATGATGACGTCATTCCTGCTGTGGAGGACTCTTTAAACCACTAGGGCGAAACTTTCTACACCTGTAGGATCCAGGCACCTCGTGGACCTCGGAGGGGATTGCGTTAAAAAGTAATTAGCAACCACCTTCAACGCAGTCAGCACAGACCAACACACAGTTAGTCTCAGAACCTTTCAGCCACCCCTCTTAGGTTGATGGGGACCTCTGCTAACTCGGAATCCACTTACGTTCGTTAAGCCAGTGTATCATGTCTCCAGTATATTGTGATACTGTAATAACGAGGAGATATTGGGCACTGGATAATCGAGGGTGATAAACAACCGAATCAGGACCGGGCGCACATGTGTTTGTTTGTTTGTTTGTTTGTTTGTTGTTGAAGGCCGCACAATATTCCAGATATATGACGGCGGTCTGTAAATAATCGAGTCTGGACCAGACAATCAAGTGATTGACATCATGAGAATCGGTCTATGCAATGACCATGACCATCCGATCCCGTTAGTCACCTCTTACGGCAAGCATAGTCGCCTGTTACAGCAAGCATGGGACCTATCCTACCCGGATCTCTATGGGTAGACAAGCATGGGTTGGTGAAGACCTATTCTGACCAGGATCTTCATGGGTCGTGTCTGAAAGCATGTGCATGTCACATATCCCTATATTATGCGGCTTAACGACAAACGACAAGGGGGCAGCCAATTGGTTAAGCGATCGCTCGTCACGACGAGGGCCTTGGATCGACTCCCCAAATGGAAACAATGTGTGAAGCCCATGTCTGGTGTCCCCGGCCGTAATAACTCGAATAACCAGCCATTCTGTATATAGTGATCACACATGTATGTTTACAGGCAGGCAACTTCAAGGAAGCCCTTCCCTATTACCTGATGGCGGGAACCAGGATCAGTATCCTGGGTCAGTGTACAGATACAGACAAGTAAGCAATATTGTTAACATTATCTGAACCTTATATCTCCTCTTCCGCGAGCATTTATTTATCAATGATGAAGAAAAATCAATTTTCTACGCTCAATGCTGTCTGTTTTCAATCTTACACACGCCAAATAAACCGGGTTAAAAGGTTATAACAGAGGTTACATTATTTGCTATGAAAACATTTGATTTAATTAATGGTATTCATATATTAATGAAGACAGGTCTGACTTATGCGACAAGCAAGCGACGTTCTTTAAAGTCCAAATGCCAGTACCTTTATCAAGTAAGCGACGCTCTTTCAACGCGGCGTTTCAGTCTAGATGCCAGTACCTTTATCAAGTAAACGACGCTCTTTCAACGCGGCGTTTCAGTCTAGATGCCAGTACCTTTATCAAGTAAGCGACGCTCTTTCAACGCGGCGTTTCAGTCTAGATGTCAGTACCTTTATCAAGTAAGCGACGCTCTATCAACGCGGCGTTTCAGTCTAGATGTCAGTACCTTTATCAAGTAACCGACACTCTTTCAACGCGGCGTTTACGAATAGATGCCAGTACCCTTATCAAGTAAGCGACGCTCTTTCAACGCGGCGTTTACGAATAGATGTCAGTACCTTTATCAAGTAACCGACACTCTTTCAACGCGGCGTTTCAGTATGGATGTCAGTACTTTTATCAAGTAAGCCTTCCATTGATGTCAATACCTTTTGCAAGCAGTTGATTTCAAAGGCAATCCATGAAAGTCTTCATTAGTACTCCAGCATCCAGCATGTCGTATTGTTGCCACATTAAGTCAAGTTACTCACGATGCTGCTTGGTGAAAACCTGACTTAGCGTGTTGGTAGGAAAGGAAATGACATGATCCTCACCAAGATGTATGTTGTAAGGTTCACAATCGCCTTCGAGGATCTCACAACAGACAGGAAGGTGCTCGCCATGGATGTGGACATGTCGACCAGAACCGCCCGCAGGTACCACGAGGTTGCCGATATGGCGGCTGACGACACCTGGAGTACATTCCCCTTCACGGCGGGACAGACGTTCAACATCACACTCAGTGTGCTTGTCGACAACATCCGGGTGAGTGAGTGAGTGAGTCTGGTTAATGTCGCTTTGAAAACTATTTCACTTATATCACACGGTGCGTAAGCTTGAATTGGGAAAGACAACGAAGTAATGTAGGTCTTAGGCGGTTACCTCTTTCGTGAGTGAGTAAGTTTAAGCCGCTTAGCAATACTCCAGTAATATCACGGCGGGGTACACCAGAAATGGGCTTCCACTTTGGTGAAGCCCGCGCACACGGGTATGTTGCTGAGAAACAGAGAGACATAATCAGGATGAAACTGGCTTTCTCACCCACGATAAAAAGGGAAGCAACTCTGTTCACATAAACAAGTGAGTGATTGTTTGAAGGGCATTCTAGAAGTTGGTGTGTATAAGACAACGTAAAACTTCTGGTTTATTGCAAAAAGCGAAGTTTCAATGTAGATTCGAACACCGTTATCAAGCTAGAGTGACTACAACCAAGTGAAGAGGGGTATATGTGCATGATATGTTGTGATAAGCAGTTAAACAACAACAGGTGATTACGGTGGCCCTAAGGGACATGGAGTCTGTTTTTCAATATTTTGATAGTTCACTTACTGTTATCGTAACCTTTTGCAAATTAACACGATTTGTCATACAAATATGTGATAAATCGTGTATAAAGAAGATATTGAATCGCTGAAAGTGAAGCGAAAATGTCAAAAACTTAAATGAAAATGTCAAAAACAAAAACGAAAATGTCCACAACTAAAATGAAAATGCAGAAAACTATTTACACTGCGGTGGAAATAGTTTTCTGTATTTTCATTTTAGTTTATGACATTTTCGCTTTTGTTTTTGACCTTTTCGTTTTTGTTTTTGACATTTTCATTTTAGTTTTTGACATTTTCGCTTCACATTTCAGCGATTCAATAGCTACTTGAAAGTACATTTTCCATGTTTTCGGTTGTTTTTATATATGATTTATCACATATTTGTATGACAAATTGTGTTCATTTTCAAAAGGTTACGATGAAAGTAAGTGTAATATCAAAATATTAAAAGACAGACTCCATGTCCCTTATGGGCCACCGTAGGTAATAGATAACAAGCAGCTCACAGATGATTGGCTGAAGCCAGATGTACAGTAAGAATAACAAACACTTTTTATTCTTACTGAACATCTGGCTTAAAGTGTGAACTGAAAAATCTAACATTTTCAGTCGTGCATGCGCCATTCATGAAATGATCAATCTACCGATGAGATGAGCATGTAATTGACAAGAAAAAACAATCTTTTCTAGTATTATGTATTAAGTGATGATATACTGTATTTGTGTGAAACATAAATTCGATATCTCTCTCGAATCAGAGACAGAAACCGAGAGAGGGGATATAGGTATGTTGTATTATTTCATTATATCATATGTTCCCTTTATGTCGCATATCTCCTATATATCATTTGCCCCCTGTAAGGTTAAATTTGTAGATTGTCCTATTTGTAGGTACTCGTAAGCACGCTCTCGCGAAGACTGTCGTTTTCTACTAACGTGGTGTTTGTTTGTTTGTCGCTTAACGGCGCACTCAGCAATATTTTAGCTGTGTGGTTTTAGTTTTGTTGTGTGTTGACGGCTGTCTGTAAATAATCGAATTTGGACCAGACAATCCAGTGATTGACATCATGAGCAGCGATCAACGCAACTGGGATAAAATTATATGCATCAACCAAGGCAGCGAGTCTGACCACCCGATCCGTTAGTCGCCTCTTGCGGCAAGCATGGGTTGCTGAAGACCTAATCTAACCCGGATCTTCAGCTGCATGACAGTGTCCTGCAAATAATCGAGTCTGGACCAGACAATCCAGTGATCGATATTATGAGCAACGACCCACGCCGTTAGTGTACGATGACACGCAATCAGCCAAGCCACCGAGCCTGACCACCCTGTCCATTTGGTGGTCACTTACGACCTGCATAGGTTGCTGGGGGACCAACATCTAACCCAGAATCCCCACGTTAAGTAGTTACTATATGAAACATTACATTGCAGTGTAGTCCACGTTCCTCTGTTTTTTCCAGATACTGGTGGGTGACCAGGAGATGACCCTGTGTGAATACAAAACTCAGGCTCTCAGACTCGCCAGTCACGTGACCATCCATGGAGGGATAACAGTGGAACAGGTGGACCTTATTTACCCCTGATTATGTTAATGACACTCGCACAATAGCTCTCCTTTCCGTCAATTATCATCCTCGATTATCCGGTGTATTATATCCCAGATATCTCTAATACCGTGGGAGGCACGGGTGGCCCAGTCGTCTAAGACGCCGCGATTCGCTGTGCAGAGTTGCATCTCTTGGACACGCCAGAAACCTATGATTATGAGTTCGAATACCGGTTCGCCCCGATAATGTTTCTAGGTTTGTCAGCAACATACCCGTGCTCGTGGGTTTCACCGAAGTGATAAACGTCTGAAACCTGCATCACTTCGGGCTTTCCTCCCACATTAAGCTGACACGCCGCGATATAACTGGAATACTGTTAAAAGCGGCGTTAAACACAACTCACACACTCAATCTAATACCGTGGACCCATTCAGTACAGCGTCCAGGTCACAGATCATAGGAAGGTAAGCTTTGTTTAAACGCAGAGCTTTTGTAGATGAGTGACAGCTAAAATCGTGAGTACCTTGGGCTTCCGTCCTGACCATACTGAAACACCTTCCACATGTAGTGTCTCCTTAGGCAAGTGACTTTTTTAAAAGATGCGTCTGTTCACCACGCAGTGAATGGGTACCCGGTAGGATGAGCTGTAAATGTGCCATAACCTTCTAGCACCATTAGTATTCACTTGGTGAAAGGAATTCAATATTACGCATTATAAATGACAGTATTATTGTTATTATCATGGAAAATAGCAACTGAATCAAATGATGCTCACGAGCGAGAGAAATTCGGGGCTAAGTTAGAGATTGGCCCTATGGAAGTGGTGACGTCACGAAACGAAGTTAACGGGTATTTATCAAAAAGGAAAGAAGATATAATGCGCTGGATTATCGAGGATGTGATGAGATGAAGATAAGATGCATAATTGCCCACTGTATCTCCTCTCGACATAATGGGCAGGTACAAAGTTGAAGCTTATGTGCCACATCACTACTCACGACCAAACTCTGGACCCATAAACACCCAATCCAATGTACACGTTGAGACAAACATAGATCAAATAAAGTAATCGAGTAGTAACAACTTGTGTGGGTTTATTTGTGTCTAAACTACTTTACGGTTGTACTAGGTTATTTCCTACCCTTGTCATTGATATATGCATGCATCTGTGCTGAATGAATTAACAGGTCCGGCTCACACGGAGAACTTTAAGTCGCCACATCCAGACAGGGTTGACTTTAAGATACAAGGGTAAATCGAAAGGTTCGTGGCCTCAAAGACATTCCTTTGTGTAATGCAAGTAAATGAGTTGGGTGTAACGCGGCATTGAGTGAGTGAGTTAAAATTTAACATCGCATCGGCATTATTTCAGCCATAAAGTGATAACGCGGCATTGAGCAGTATTCCAGTTATATCACGGCGCGTCAGCATGATGTGGGTGGAAAGCCCGAAGTGATGCAGACCCTGGACGTTTCCCACTTTTAGTGCATCTATTTGGTGAAACCCACAAGCAGGGGTATGGTGCTGACAAACCCTGGATACATAATCGGTGAAAACCAGGATTCGAACCCATGGTCATAAGTTTCTGGCGTGCCCAAGTGATGCAACTCAATGACAGAACATATCTAGGGACCTTTGACCCGTTATCAGCTTAATCCCGATCAATGTTTGATGCGAAGATTAACCCAGGATTAGACCTGGCTCCAACACTTTGATCCAGAGTTAAACCCTCTGAGCAAACAGTGGAAACATTTAGTCTCACCCTCACCAAAAGAATACAAGGTGGGGATGGCGCCAGTTAGCCAAATCAGCTTCGGTTTTCTTGGACTGTAAGGGTATAATCTCGACTGACTATCTGCAGACTATCAATGGACAATACTATGCCCCATAACTATGTCAGCTAAGAGAAGCTGTCAAGGAAAACGGCTTTGAATTACTTCCCAATGCCCCTTACTCTTGTGACATGGCATACAGGACCCAGAGGGGATGCAGGGGTGTGCACCCACGCCACATCTCGCCTTTTCAAACATACTAATCACGTCAACACACACAAAAAACATCACACAAAAATTATTTGGTGACTAAAATAATTATCAACTGAATATATTTTGGCTCACAAACGCAAATTGTTTCCTGAAATATTTTCAGTCTTTGTTTCAAAATTTCAAATGCACCCGCTACCTTTTCAATTTAGCCTCTACATGTGTAGGTCATAGCTACCATCATGACCATGGATATAAAGGTTTATCATATAATGGGTAGACTTCCCGGTAGGATAAAGCCAGCGGATAAAAACGATATCCGTTGGGGTCATATGCGGATAGAGATGCAAATATAGAAGGTCAAGTAGGGACTACTTTCATTGTTTACAAACGTGGCGTCTCCTTTGTCATTCGGCGATCGAGTCAGAATTAACCATCGAGAATCAGGAGAAACTACTGGGATAATAGCTATCATTATCAAAAGATTAGTCTAATATGCTGAAACTCAGAGTCTAACTGTGACGTAGATACTGCATTTTCCACTTTTAGGCAACTTTGGAGATATAAATTGCGAAACAATTTAGCGAGGACACAAGACAAGCGGGATCAGTTTCCATAGCTGTGCTTGTACTGTTGTAGACCTCTGCGGCATGGCAGCTTTTCACCAATTAAAACGAAATATGTCCGAATTGATACTTTGTTTCGTTTTTTCGCTGTGTAAACACCTGACTGCACTTCGCAACGTTATGACAGGACAGGCAAGACTAACAAACGTGACGTCTCACAGACTAGGGTTAGAATAGCGTTCCTTTGATAAAGGGCAGTAACTCTAGCGGACACAACGACGGATTGTCGCGAAAGGCAAGTAGAAACAACTTGTGCAGGCAATTGTTGTTTTGCAACCAGTTACGCCACTGTAATATATATTAATGCGCACAATCCAGGAAAACCTGCAATGTTTAGGTAATGTGTGTGAGAGATGCGAAGAGGCTCTTAGAGCACAGAATTGAAGAATGACAATATATGATAAAGAGGTTATCACCTTGTGTGTTTGGAGATGGTAAATATTCTGTATTAGGAATAAACAAAATGTATTTAACTCACCAAGGCTCGCGAAATACAATGTTTATTCCTAATATATTCACCATCCCCAAACACACTCAGGTGATAACCTGTTTATTTCAGGCAACAGCCAATCGTTGAAACGAAAGCTAGATGTAAATTACATGGGACAACAGTCAATGAAAAGACATATTTCTGTAACAGTTTATTGTAGAAGCATCGGCAGTTGTAAAAGATGACAAGTTCAACAACAACAGAGTAACAGCGGCTGTTGTAGGTCCAGGGCTGTGACCAGGCGCTACTGATGGACAGCAGAATATGCTGTGACAGGATCAACATCATGTAAAATACACAAAAATTTAAAATAATGTAAGCATGGAATCTTAATTACTTGATTCTTTTTTAAGGCGGGTGCTTTGATTCAAACATTATCATAACATAACAATTCATGTATTTGGCGAGGGAATTTGAGTTAACATTGCTTTAAACAGTATTTCAGTTGTGATGCAATTCTTAAACATTTACCACTTGGGTAAATACCAGCAGCATGTGTATGGACCTGAAGGCGACTTTATATATATGTTGTAGAAACCTCAAAATTATCATAATCTATTATCATTCTAATCAAGATCTTTTAAACACTTTTCTACTTTGTGGTGTACAGTAACATGTTCAACAGTCCTGGACCTATAACGGTTATCAGAAACTCTGAAAGTGACCAATAATTTCAGATAACAATTAAAAATTCGTAAAAATTACATTTGTATAGACTAAGGTTTAAAATCATAAAAACTTAAAATTGATACAAACATACAAATTTCATAAATAATATTTATAAATTTTTGTTTTTCTTTAAAAGAACTCAGATGATTAAATAATTCTTATGCAAATACACCCTAAAAGTATATGACAAATAAAAATCAACTGAAATTATAATAAATGTAATAGAAATTAAATGATTAAATTGGATAAGTAAAAGGACTATCCCTTGTCACTTTCAGCAGCACCTCAGCGTGATGCTTGAAGACTATAACATGATGAGATGAGAATGGAAGATGGCAGACACTAGCACAGACTCTATGTACATATTTACATACAACTTTATATACAAAACAATGGACACTAGTATACACTATAATACAGTTTCTAATGTACAGCGTATACACAACTACTGACAGATCTCAACAGTCACACCAAATCACGTCTTGACAGTCACTCTACGGAGGCAAATCTCGACAATCATACAGATCTCACAATCATGACGGCAATCAAGCAAGTCAGTCGTACTGAGACAGGAACAATGGCACTTTCTTTTAAGACACATGCGGCTGTCTGCATAGACACAACTCTGTACAATTGGGAGGCAAAATAGATGTCAGACCCATCAGTCAAATCTGGAAGCCCATCCACTAACAATTTGCTAAATGTCCTTATGTCTATATCTAGTGTATATAAGAGGCAAAAATTTGCTCCTCATTCAAATTTTGAAATTAATCTGCTCAATACAAAAGTTCCCAAGTTGGAAGGAAATCATTCAATGTGTGTGAGCACTTGTTGCGAGACTCAAGGAGATGGGAATGCCAGAGATGCATACAATAAATATAGCACTAACAATAGCTGCAGGGAAAACAAAGAGTATAATTCTCAAATAAATAGTCAAAACAGATGTAATTCATCTTAAATACTTTTTTTACAAATATTCTAATAACACAATTACTCTACAGCTATTTGATGGACAACGAACATGCCCTTGGTTATTCCCTCCCAGCCTAGAGGTGCCTAGTGTAAGTAATGCAGGCGGACCTAAACACAGCATCTGTTGACTACTGTCGCGGCTGCTATGTTAGTACTATCTCCTGGACTGAGCCGCGGATATAACCGACATCTGGGCCGACTTCCTCATGTGCTCCAACACTAGGGGCACCTTCTCCAGGCGTGACTTCACGTAGTCAGGTAGGTGGTCGTTTTGGTAAAACCTAAAACATAATGGTTGTCATGATTAATGCCAGTCTCAAACAGCATGTACATGTGATTCAGTTCAATTTCAATACACAGTATAAATGTCTTATGATAAAGCTTTCGTTTCATGTTTCGTCCTACTGAGAGAGTTGGGTTCACAATTGAACACTATTTCAGTTATGTCAAAATGTGTAACCTTAAGTGTCATGTATGTTTACTGCAGGGATAGAATTAACCAAGAAAGTCTACTAGCCCGGTTAGTGATAACAAATGGCAATACCCCAAACAATGTTTTAAATTCTTTTGCCCTTAGGATACCATTAACATTAACAATGGTCTGGGTTAGCGGACTAGTTCTATTCGCTTATTCTATTCCTGAATTTACCACTTTGGTAAAGTACTAAACTGTGAGTGCTTGGATCATGATCAGGCAGAACTCTGAACTTCCAAGCCATGATCATTGGATACTGGCACAGAGGGATGCAGCTGTGGACAATATTAGGGCAACCCTGCCCCCATCAGATAATGCCCTGTGCACTGGTCTGCAGTGAGACCCACCTGAGTGTCTTGCCCTGCTGGTCGATGAAGGTGACGGTTGTAGCATTCGACTTCATCCCTAGCTGTGTGCCATCATTGAAGTTCACCACAATCTCCCCATTTGAATACTGAAACAGGAAATATTGTGTTACAGATACACAAGAAACATATATCCCAAACCTGAAAAAATCAAAGTCAAAGGAATGAAAAGGAAACCAGAGCATTTGTATCATGGAGACCAATTAAAATAGTCCCCTACCCTAGATAGATAGACCTACAGACATGCTTTACACTGAAAATGCACCCATGTCAGTATAATTACTGGTAAAAGTGTCACTTGGTAAAGGTGTTGAAATGAACAACCACTGCTGCCTACGTTCAAGGTGTACAGTACATCCATGTCAGTACAATTACTGGTAAAGGTGGTAAGATGAGCTACCATTACCGCCTACATTCAAGGTGTACAGTACATCCATGTCAGTACAATCACTGGTAAAGGTGTTAAGATGAGCTACCATTGCCGCCTACGTTCAAGGTGTACAGTACATCCATGTCAGTACAATCACTGGTAAAGGTGTTAAGATGAGCTACCATTGCCGCCTACGTTCAAGGTGTACAGTACATCCATGTCAGTACAATCACTGGTAAAGGTGTTAAGATGAGCTACCATTGCCGCCTACGTTCAAGGTGTACAGTACATCCATGTCAGTACAATCACCGGTAGAGGTGGTAAGATGAGCTACCATTGCCGCCTACGTTCAAGGTGTACAGTACATCCATGTCAGTACGATTACCGGTAAAGGTGTTAAGATGAGCTACCATTGCCGCCTACGTTCAAGGTGTACAGTACATCCATGTCAGTACGATTACCGGTAAAGGTGTTAAGATGAGCTACCATTGCCGCCTACGTTCAAGGTGTACAGTACATCCATGTCAGTACAATTACCGGTAAAGGTGGTAAGATGAGCTACCATTGCCGCCTACGTTCAAGGTGTACAGTACATCCATGTCAGTACAATCACTGGTAAAGGTGGTAAGATGAGCTACCATTGCCGCCTACATTCAAGGTGAACAGTACATCCATGTCAGTACAATCACTGGTAAAGGTGGTAAGATGAGCTACCATTGCCGCCTACGTTCAAGGTGAACAGTACATCCATGTCAGTACGATTACCGGTAAAGGTGGTAAGATGAGCTACCATTGCCGCCTACATTCAAGGTGAACAGTACATCCATGTCAGTACGATTACCGGTTACAGTGGTAAGATGAGCTACCATTGCCGCCTACATTCAAGGTGAACAGTACATACCTTCTGTCCCCAGCCAATGTTGGGAACAAACATCTGGTGGACGACATCCTTGTTGGGCTTCCTTGGATCAGCACTGGTTCCCGAGGATGTGCTGCTGGTTGCCATGGAAGCCTGTGAAGTGAGAGTAGAATTGTGTCTGTCGCCTGTTGTCAGCCGTGATGTGCATTGACTTCCTACCTCTGTCACAGCACTTACAACTGTGCCATCAAATGATGTCATCTGAAAAACACAAACACTCTCATCAAAACCATACACTATTGAAATAATAAAAAAACTGACATCGGACGTTATTTTTCTCTGAAAATTATAAATAGAAATTCCTGATTCAAATAAAGTATCTTCTTTACATCTAATAACAATAGTTGTTAATATTTCTGAAACAAATTTCATACACAGCACAGAAGTCTAACAATGTTCAGTCCTTACCATGGGAGGTGACTTCATCTGAGAACACTTGGTTGTGTCATGGTCTTGAGAAGATCTGGTATCAGTTGTGTTGTCGCTAGACTTGCTGAGGTCTCCTAGACCAGAGTGTGGGCGCCTCCCGACGATGACGGGGAACAGATGGTCCTTGCCACACCCAGTGCTTTGCAGGCTTCTGATGACAGACTCCAGCTCCATGCACTGTGTCTGACACTGTCACAGCAAATAAAATGTTGGGTTAATGATTTGTTAATGCTGTTGTTTGTTTGTTTGCTGTTTAACATAACACTGCGCTCTGTAAATAACTGCATCTGGACCTCTTAATCCAGTGATTCACATCACAAGCATCAATCTATGCAATTGGGATACAACAGCATCAACTAAGTCAGCAATTCTGACTACCGATCCTGTTTGTTGCCTCTCATGAGAAGCCTCTTGCCAAAGACCAATTCTAACCCAGATCTTTTATTTATTCCTTAGTGATGCTGCAGTATCACAGCAGGGTACAACAACTCACGATTCACAAATTACAAAGACAAATATGAATCTAAATTTGCTTCAGGTGACTGTACTACTGGGTTTTGGAATTAGTACAATTCTGAAGAACAACTTCTCTTACGATCAGTCTAGTAAAGATTTCAGTTCTTGCAATTTACTTTGGTTTTGATAAGATCAGTGCACTTCCATGTTGAATTTGAAACAAGGGAGACAACTGACCTGTTTGACATACACCAGTAATTCCTTTGTGTCATAACTGAGGTGTTGCTCCATGGCCTGAGACTCCAGAGCTAGAGAGGTGCCATCCTTTTCAATGATCCTCATACCCTTACTGTTGGCTGTGAACTTAGCACCTTGAAAACAAGCAACATATCACACATGAAAACTCTGACATGAATCCTTCATAGTCTCTTCGTTCAAAGAAATATACCAAGTCGCAAAATCCAATTAATTTGCTTTCATGATTTAATTTCACCCACAAGAATGTTAAGCATATGAAGATAAATTAAAGCATATTAACGTAAATTAAATAACTAAGCACTCAGGTAAAAAGAACAAAAAGCTTGTTGTGATGTTAAAAACACAACACTCAATCATTCATATTTTTAAAATGACTCGTCATGTAGCATTCACACAATATTATCAAACACTCCTCACCATCATAAAATACAGCTTCAAAGTCTGCATCCGGAGCATTCTCCATCAACATACACTTGGCTCTGTGAGTGTACATTGTGACCTTCGGGGTCTTGGACCGTACTAGGTTGACAAACCTGATTCATAAAGACAACATGGTTAGAATACACATAGATTTAGTAATTTCTTTTAATGACTGCCACACCAAACAACACCAGCTGCACATGTAATTTTCAGAATGCATGAATTTCTGCACTCTATTAATGCATATGTTTTCAATTTTTCCATACTATGTACAAATCAATATTACACAGTCCTACATATATTAATAAAAATAATTCAGCACACAGGGCCTTGTAGTTACTAAAGAGAACTTTCCTAAAGATTTTCCAAATTTGAATTCTTACTATTTAGATATACACAAAAAATAAAGAATAATCTTTAACACCCCCATCACCATCACTATCGTTTGCAGTTGTTATTACAACCATTTTTAAAAGGAATATCTTACCTTGTAGCATACTGGTATTTCTTGTAATACTTTTCTGGCATTGACCCATACGCAAATGTTTTGAGCATTTCATCATCTGGTGACGGCGGTCGGTCCGTGACAACTACCCCGTGGCCCTCGTTAGGCTGATACACACTGACCTGTAACAAAACAGCCACCGTAACAACATACTGCTTCACCAACATCAACATCAGTAGATGAATACAAAGAACAGTTCAGCATTACAATTCACCATTTTGTTCTTCACACAAAGTTTCCACAAACTAAACAGTTCACAATACCACCCACTGGTTCTAATGAACACTTTATCACCATATGTGAGAATAAACACCCACTCCATTGCCACCAACAAAACTACATTCATCAGCTCCCTAGATTGTATTTCACACCTGGCGCGTCTCGTGTTAAAACACTTCCATGGGAGAGTTCACACCATTAGTACCTCTGTACCCTCTCCGCCCTTCTCAGTGCACCAACACAGATGGAGGGGTGTCAGAAACATTCACCTTCTGGTGGTCAGGACAACCAGAGATGTTGTACAAATCAACAGATTCTTATTGATGGACAATGCAATATTTATTAGCTACTGTTCACAGGTGGGAAGAACACCACAGGGAGCCAATCACAGTCAAAGGGAGATAATTTGTCATTATTGTAGGTGATTAGCACCTTGGAAAAGCAATATTAACTATATTGGTTGGTAGAAATGCAATGTTTAGATTTGGAACTAAAATTGACAGGATTTTAGCTTCAACATCTTAAACAAGAATATAAAGCAGCATAATAAAAGAGAGCAGCATCATGATGACCCTTTCAGGATAGTATTTGATTTTTTCTTTATACAACATGTACAAAGAATGAACATATAACTAAAACAAAAGTTTCCAACCCATTTCAATTTTTCAAATTTTAGTTTTTTTAATTTTGTCTTTAAATTGTTCCTTCAACCTACCTGACTGCCATCTGCTGATATCGAGAAGACCTCCACCACTTTCTCCACCTTATTCTTGTTCTTCAGGAATTCAAGGCACACTTCCCCTGTCTCCAGAATATTTACCTGAAGTTATACATAAAAGTCACTTTCAAAACAGATTCAATACATCAATACATACAATATATCATCAGATCATACCTTCAACAAAACAAGCCAGGGTTTATTCTGGATATTAATCAAACAAATTGCTATTCAAAGAAAAATCAGTTGATCTTAATAAACATGAGTCAAGGAAAAGAGACATCCGTAGATCAATCTGAATATTACTGTATTTAAACAGTTTACTCCCCATCCATTTTTTTAGGCAGATGTACATGGATAAATGATGGCCAAATCAATCATAAGAATAGAGATCGATTCTAATTCTCAACATTATGTAAAACTTCAAAAACTAGTATGGAGACTCTTTTCACAATGTTCACACACACAAACTGTTGTAAACATACATCTGCAAACTTGTCGTGAGAAGTCAACTTTATTGGAAACTAAATGCAACCATGATGAAAATGTTCAACTTACAATAGCATTCTTTGTCTTCTGCCGGATGGGACGTAATCTCTGAGCATTAAGTTGTGAGACTGTCTCTGGACTGTGTCGATCCTTCTTTTCACTCTTCTCCCCGTGTCGATGTGAATCCCCTCTAGGCCCAATGAGATCCTGCATTGACTGAGACTTAGCACACGCGTTCACCTCCTTCTCCGAAATGTGAACCCTCTGTCCATACGGCGACGAAAACTCAACAGGTCCATGCAAGTTGGGCACATTTGACAGCTTCTCCTCAACAGAAGCTGACCTCAAGAACGGACTCTGAACATTCCCAATACACAGGCCCTGAGAACCGTGACTTGACGAAACATTCTCAGGTTCATGCAAACTCCCAGGTTTCGAGTCAAACGTCAACACTCGTTTCGTGTTTTGTAAACTGAAGTCTCCATCATGAGAAGAAGAATCTGATCCAGCACTGAGATATGGTTTAACTGACTGTGCAATGTCAGCACTGCTGCAGGTGTCCGAGAGCCCTCGGAGCCCCGGACTGGCCTGGACCCTCCCCGTGCTCGAGCTGTGGAAGGAGGCACATGACCACGTGGAGGAGCTGTTGGTCTGGGATCCCTCCTGGTACCGGGTGGGGTCAAACAGGTGGGGCACGGGGGCCTTGGTGGCCATCATATTGTCAGTGTTTCGCTTGGAATAGTCTAACATGTTTTCTTGGGAGCTGTACTTCCGGATGACTGGTTTGTCGGTGTGTTGGGCGTGACTCAACACTCGGTGCTGACTAGCAAGGTTGCTCTGACGAGCCTGGTACAGCTCAGCCTCTCGCTCACTACAATAATATTACATTCATTACATCACAATCACTATTCAGAACTCAAAATAATCAGACTTTACACCCAAACAAAAAACCAAACCCTTTTCATTCGTAAGAACCAAACAACATGTTAACACTTCAAACTCACATCCTATTTGTTTGAACTGTAAAATAGGCACACAGCATTTACACCATGACAAAGTAATAACTGCCATTGATTTGCATTGTGTGGATTGAATTTAACAATAATCTACACCGATTATCGTGTGGGTATCACATGAATAGTATAGACAAGCCGCTCATTCCAAAAGGGAAATATCCACTGAACATCATACGAAGAGTCCCATGCACTGAACACTGTCCTACCTGTCTCGAAGCCTGACTGGGGGTGATGGGGGATGACGCTGGTGAGCTGACTGACCGCCCAATAGCTGCTGATGACCACCGCTGGTGTAACTCCCACTGTCCGAAATGTTGCTGTAGTAGCCGTTGCCATAGCGTTCTTCATCCTCCATGATCTGAGACTTGAGTTCCTTGATGGGGAACGCTGGCATCGGTTTACGGCTACTCGACAAACCTGATCTCCCTGACATCACAGTAGCCATTGTACCTCGACCACTGTCCATCGACACTTCCGGACACTGCAGTAAAGAAATAACAGTACAGTTTCAGTTATTACTGTAAATTTGAAACAAATCATGTCACCACATTTCTACAAAAGACAAGAAATCTGCTATTGATTTCAATGTAATTCAATACACAAAAATCAAATTTAAGCTTTAAGAAAGTGATACTCACCTTGTGGGCAATTTTCCTGCTGCCTGAGGAAGAACTGTTGGTCATGAAAGGATGACTTAAAATTTCTGAAACAGGAAATTACATGTTTACCTTATGGTTCAAAGAATCTTTTCATATCTTGATAAAAACAAAGCAAACCTGGGTCACGTTTATCCGTAAACAAATCAACTATATGTAATGTTCATAATATTACATGTTTTAATGAAGAACGATTATATTCTATTGTTGCTCTTCCATCAATATCCTTGTGGAAGTGGAAAACCTAGTGGTTAAAGCATTTGCTACTCATGTCTAAGGCCCTTGTTCAAAGCCCCACATTGGTACAATGTGTCAAGCCCATTTCTGGTGTCCCCTGTCGAGCTATTGCCAACTATTGCTAAAAGCAGCGTAAAACCCATACTCACTCATTTCTCCTCAATATCCTAAGCTATATTTGATACATGGAAACAAACATTTCAGGACAAATCAAACGATTCCATACCTCGGATAGGGATTCTTTCTTTTGGATTCTTGCGTAATAGTCCCTGAATGAGATCCCTTGCTTCTCTAGACAGGTGTTCCGGCAGATCGTACTCTGCCAATATTACACGATTCAGCGTCTTCTTCACAGCGTCTGTGTCAAATGGTGGCTGGCCCACAAGAAATGTGTACAACATGCAGCCCAGAGACCAGACATCAGTTTCCAGACCATGTGCAGCTCTCATTGCCACCTCTCTGGAAAATAGAAGTAACAGTTAAAACATTAGCAAGATAGTTTAACACAACTTGATAGATAATACAAAGAAAATTTACTCAAATTTAAGACAAACGATATCAATTTTACAGCTAAACAAATTAGATGGTGCTACTCACGGAGATATGTAGTTTGGTGTGCCACACATTGTGAAATGCTTCTCATCCGGAACACTCAGCTGTGTCGCCAATCCAAAATCGCCTATTTTCTGTGTAATAGAGACAGGTTTACATACTATGTCATGCCGATACCAACAAAATCTTAAATCAAGGTCAAGCAAATTGTTCAGTGTAGATATCAAACTATAAATTGACAAAGACTATTTCATCATACAAATGTATATAAAAGACTGAGAAAACAATCATAAGTCATCAATCATCAATCACAGGATTGTCTGATCCAGACTCGATTATTTACAGACCGCCATCATATAGCTGGAATATTGCTGAGTGCGGTGTTAATCAACAAACAAACAAATAAAAATCATACAACTGGTTGAACAGGTTTTGCAATTGATTACTTACAACATTCATGTTCTTGGAGAGAAGTAGATTTGACAGTGTGAGATCCCTGTGGAGGATGCCATGTGAGTGCAGGTACAGCATCCCCTCAACTATCTGCTTCATGAAATGACGAGCTGGAACATCAATATGACGACATCACCAACTTGGCAATTTTCATCTTTCAATATGTCTATGACTGGAACTTAAAAGCTGGAAGAACATGGGGACACAAAACCTTCATACATAACAACTTCTTTGCGATTTCTTACGATGTTTCAGGAAGTTTCAGTGAGTCACCAGACAAGGGACAATAAATAGCCCTGAAATGTTAAAAATAATTAAAAAGTTGTTATCCATTAACGTTTCATGTCTTTATGTTGATAGACAGAAAAGAATTTATCTTGTTCAGAGCCAGAGTGTAACATCTCTTGCCTGTTACCATGGTTACAGTATTTTGTAATGTTTGTATACCTTCATCTTCAGTGAGCACTTTACAGTTGGTTTTGAGGTATCTCTGTAGTTCCCCGTTGTGGCAGATCTCCAACACCAGATACACATAGTTGCTGTCCTCGAAGTAGTTGTATAGCTGCATGGAAAGACACATCGGTGAATATGACATCAAATTATTCAAGTTTATTTTTCGAAATAGTTATTACATCAACCAATAAGCTTATTCACACATTGATGTGTAATGTATCATAGATGATTGTAGCACATGGTAGCATGGCATGTCAACATCTTTCCATAGTTCCTATATGAAGCAACAGAATGGTGTTTACATCGTTTATGCTGGAAATGTAGAATATGATATACAGGTAATCTCAGTGAGAACATTCAAAAACCATGAATTCAATCATTACAAACCTCCAATACTGCAGGATGCTTTAATCTTGAGTGAATTTCTACTTCTTTTCGAACCCTCACTACCATATTGGCAGCTTTCATTAATTTTTTATCAATCTGTAAATAAAAACAATATATATAGCAGGGATAAGAGCATATAAAACACATGGCACTATGAACAAAAATGGAAGTTTCATAAAATAAACTTTTTTCAGTCATTTAAATATAATATATGATCTTCCAACAAAATAAATTCTTACTATTAAGTAAACCTGATGAAAATTGCTAAAGTTATGTGAAACATAAGCTTACATGACTTATGCAAATGTTTCATACATTTATGTAGAAGATATACATTACAAGGATATATGTAATATGCTTAATGGCATATGTTCATAATTGTGATGATGTTGAAAACCTTACCATTTTTATGGCTACTTCTTGCCCGGTTTTATTTGATCTTGCACGGTAGACACACGCAAACCCCCCTTTGCCAAGGAGGTTCAAGACTTGATAATCCTGAACAAGCATAACAACAAATGAGAATCTAAAATTTAAATTAACACACTGTACGTTAATAATAATCAGCATGATCAGATTATATGTGCAATTATTCAAGTTATTGCAATATCAAACTGATAAACTTCTTGACATCTTAGTATCACAACCATAGTGGTGGCAATGCACCTATATATGAAGATGAACATGATAAAACACGAGTCCATACTTGAAAAAGGCAAATTATAACCATAACCACAAATTGAATAACTTAACAAAGCCGTTGTAAATAATATTCACAATGACAACAGTCATAAATATCACTGTATTTTATCAGACTGATGCTATAACAAAACAAACAAAATACAAACGTAAGATGCATACATTTCTATGAAAATAATTGTTTAGAATAGAACCTACAGTTATGCTAAGAAAGTAAAACACAAACCATGATCATGTTGGTAGGTTCAAATGATAAATAAGTACAGAATGATGTGTATGATCATCAGCGGAATGCGGGATATGAGATTGTAATCCGTAGGTCTCAAGTTAGGCACACATGTCATATCCAAGTTCCGTTTCGAATGTAAACAATCTTGGCGTGGCTAACATCGAACATACGAATATCATCGATGTAACTCCAACGACATCCAAGACAGTTATGTCCACAAATCAGATGTGATAATGTGTAATAAAGGCGTGAGGAATCGATCATCAAACATTTCCCTGTGTGTCGGGAAACGGCTTAGGATTAGCCCTCATTAGCGCTAATACGTGATCAGACTTGCACAATGCAAATTACCTCCCTTGTTTCCAATCCCAAAAGATCAACATGACGAACATACCTCGATATTTTCCGTCATGGTTGATTATCCCGTTAGATCTGTTAATTTCCCGAATCAGAATCAGTTATCCTAGGTGACCATATTGTAAAATGAATATTTTCCGTGTAGTTTGTGTACTTTAAAGCATATTTTGTTGTTCTCCTGTTATCCACTGTTTTCAAAATCGCGCCTATCCGCCGACGGATAATAGGCGCGCGGAAAACACCACATCGTGAATATGATTGGATAAAAAAGAGAACACTTAAGTCTGCTTTAATCATTCTAGAATATATTTATCAATAATTTCTCGTTTTGTAAACCAAATTGAAGAAACGGTTTATCATATATTTTGTTAAAATATCTCGATACAGTTTTCATAATTTTACTCTGCAGTGATGAAATACTGTATTCGTTAAAACTATTTCTGATGCTTCCTTTAACGGAAAGGTGCTCGACTAAATAAGACAGTTGCACGATTTGTTATATTGGTAACTAAATGAGGAAAATATTTGATAAAAGATGCATTTGAAATCATTTTATTTGAATTGTTTGTAAATCATTTTCCTATTTTTGTAATATGAATAATCGTCATATACTTAATGAGGTGATGATAAAAATATAATGTCCATGACACATCATGTATAAAATCTTCAACTAATCGCATGTTATGGGCGGTCAGCGGAATACGATTCGAGGAAAGACGCCGGTATCAAACACAGATGGCGGGCGGGGGTAGACCGTGGACCCAGAGAGATTAGTGCCTTTCCTGTCATTGACTAATTACCAATAACGACCAGCCATTGTGTCAAACCGTCAAACATACGTTGGCATGGTAACGTAACTTGTTAGCGACACCTGTAATTCCTTTGAAAACAGATTGAGAGATTATTGTGAGACAAAAATTAAAGACTGTATTGATGGATTAGACTTAAACCTAATTTTACCTATCAATTTAAAATTAAATGAGCAATTGAGCATGAAATCTCCGATAGTAGTGTTGGGATTACACCCATCGGCTCGTCTGCTCAAGTTGTGTAGAAAACTTCTATCGGAATCACTAATTAGTTCTCTTCTCCAGTTGATCTCCAACTTTGTAGAGTTAAAGGAAATAATGGCATTTAGAAGTAAGTAATGAGTTTTGGGGAAACATAAGGTACTTCAAAGATGATGCAGCTTAGTTGAAATTTATTTTGTGAGGATTATCTGTCAAAGTGCTGAGAAAGATGTATTCTTGAAAAGAATGTAATTATTCATTATGGACGGAGAATAGCATTACAACAGAACACACACAGGCCCATTCTTCATCTTAATTTTCTGACGAGATCCGACACTACCAACAGACCGCCATGTGTCGCTAAATCGTCAGCATCATCCATACCCGTATCCGTACCTCACGTGAATATGCGACCTGTGTGTGTCATAGATGTTCACATAAATTAAATAAAAATAAAACTTTGCCTTTTTTGTTATTAATAATAATAGTTACAAACAAATAGCATAATTCACTTTTTGTTGAAACGTCCATAATTAAGGACACTATCCTAAGAATGGAATATAGTAACACATTATACTTTTTGTTGAAAGGCTGTTGCTATTGTTTGTTTGTTTTGTGATTTTCATTAGGAGTGTTTTGTAACATTTCCCATCTTCTCTGGACATTCATGGGGAAACCCCTAGAAATATTCCAGTCGGAATGCATTCCTCACTAGGCCTTACATTCTTTTTCCTTGTTTTAAGGATCCGCCTACCTTAAAAATCGCAAATACAGAAAGAAAAACAATCAGAATAATAACAGGTTTTTTTATAGGGCCGACAGTAAGAGATCTATCGCTTTGACAATAAAAAATATTAAAAATCTTAGGAATTTTATGTGACTAAACCAGAATTATTTCAATATAAATGTTAAACCCTTATCCATTAGACAAACCAATTCATTACACTGAAATGATGTCGTCAGATTTTAACATTTATAAGGACCCAAACCTGGCAAAGATTTCTTGTTAGTATCCCCTACCGATCCAAATCAAACGTGAAGATGAGTTTAAAAATTCCGTACGATGCATTTAAAATTTTCACTATCAAAATCCATAAACCAAAAAATTAAAGTGGGGCTTTAATATGTAATTTTACTGAGCCAGTTCCTCTGATGTTGGGTATCAAAAGATAACAATAAATTCATGAAGTAAGACAAGTTCTATGGATGAACAGCTTCTTTATTACAATCCATAGAACTTGTCTTACTTCATCACACCAACTTCTAAATGCCACTTAAAGAAGTAATAAATTCATGGACATCTGTCTCGCACTACAGAGGATTATCTGTCTTTTTTATAAGCATATGTAATGTGTTTTATTGAAATTTAATATTCGTGTTTGAAAAAAGAATTGTTATCTGTATGCGTGTAGTCTGAGTATGGATGCCGTTTCGTCTTTGGTTGTTCTACGTTCTGAAATGTCTGATATTTTAATCAGTAAAGATTTATATCCACACTGCAAAAACTATGAAATGTATTATCAAAATAAAATGGTTTTAGCATAGCGAGACTTGATACGAATTATATATTTGCTGGTGATCTACGACCACCATGTAACTCTTATATTATGCATTCAGAAAACATAAGCACACTGCCACATATCCAGTAGAGTATTCTTTCCTTGATATCCAATATAACTTATCGTTAGGAATATAACATGTCATATCTTTGTCTTGTGCGCCGAGGCGGTGATTCACGTGTTGTTCGAGAAGTTTCGCCGGGTGCTGGTAAATAACTGAAACTTCTAGACAAGGATAGAAGACTATTAATACCTCGTGGTCCCAGCACTCAAGAGCAGAAGATATACTGGCGATCAAGAGAATTCTGACCTAACAAAAGTGTCAGCCATGGCTGTTGTAGGGATTGATCTTGGTTCATATTCCTCCTACATCGCTGTCGCTCGAGCAGGAGGGATTGAAACAATTGATAATGAGTACAGCGCAAGAATGACACCGTAAGTAACACAAATGTTCCAGTAGGAGCATCTCTATGATATATATTTCACTGTGTGTAATTTGTCTTCTGCTAGATCTGTTCTGTTCACTCTAGAAATATTGCGGATCTCAATGCCATGCTTGGTGAAAATTCACACGCACGCTCCCTAATTATTTGGGTTATTTTGTCATTTGTGAAAGAGAATGTATTAAAGATTTTGATTGAGGAAGTTAATTTCAGAATTCCAGATCTTTCAATCAGCAATGTAGAAATCTAGATATTTTTAGTTTTATTATTCAACTTTGATTATTTCAACCAATATTTACAGCTTCACGACCAGGGCTTTATGTAAATTAGAACAAAATTATCTTTCAAAGGGCAATAATGATTGTTTTTTAGTTAAGTGACATTTCACAATTACCAGTTCTCTTCGGATAAATTAACAAAATGCTTTGCTTTCAGGAACTCTTCCCGTTAAAATATACGTAATTCATCAATACATGGGTCCAGTGTGATAATATTATCCTCGTCTTATAGGTTTTCGAGTTCCAAAGTAATATTCCTCTTTAAGGTTGTATTTAAAACGGCCTCAAAAGACAAAACAGCCACCAAAAAAGTCATTACCACCACATGTCTAATTATAATGACAATACATTAAAATGAAGTCTTATCTTTGAGGACACTTATTTCTGTTAAAACTTGGATGGTCAAATGACCATGTCTTGTTAATTTTATGGCGATATTGCCTAGCCGAGCGAGACGAGTTGATAAGCCGATATTTTGTAACTATCCCTTGATTTCGAACCCCTCCATTACAGTCAGGTTTAAAATTGATGCACAACATTGTCAGTTACATGGCATTAAAGACACTCACAGTACACCCATTCGCTCACACCTTAGTACTCAACTTGACTTTCTTTTGTAGGACCTATGTGTCATTCAACGAAAAGAACCGAACCATTGGTTATGGTGCCAAGCAGCAAAGTGTAACCAACTTCAAGAACACAGTAGCAGGTTTCACACGCATTGTTGGACGGAAGTTTAATGATCCAGCAGTGCAGAGTGAGGTGAAATCCTTCTTCCGACCAAATGAAGTTTCCACTGACAAGGCTGGCAATGCAGTTATTCAGGTAGGTTTTAACTGACTGCCACTGTAACTACTAGGCCAAGCCTGAGTAGATACGCTGATCAGCCAATACACTAAGAGTAATACTTAAATCTACATAGAATAACGGCAAACACGATACATGAAATCAGCCTGTAAATAAAGAAGCCTTTGATTGATATCAAGAGGAGCAATCCAGGCAGTTGGGGTACGATAATATGCCCTTGACAAAGCCACTGACCCTGACCACCCAGTCTATTAAGTTATCTTTTTTGACCAGCTAAGGCTGCTTGGAAATTACTCATCCTGGAATCTCCAAATGGACTTTTAAAGAATGTAAAGATGTGAGGCAATAGACTAAAAATTGTATGACAATGGGTATCTGAATCAGTATCTGAGCCCAGGTTCTCCATTTGTTAACCTGAGACCCTTACAATTAAAGGTTTTGATTGTCCTTGACCCCTAAATTATATTAAGGAAGTTAATTGTGCATAAGGATCATATTCACTGTCAAGGTAATTATGATATTTGAACAAATTATCAGCAGATCCTGGTCACTTAGATGACTTTGGCAATGAACATTTATTATTACTCATAGATTAGTTATCACATCAACCTGGCAGTGACATGATGAAACGCTTAATCCATTCTCTGAGATCACGTGACAGTTGCCATGGAAACACCGCAAGGTGAGGGATCATGGGTAATCTCTGGCCCCCAGGGTTCTCCTGTGTGTCGGGGTGACCCCTTGTGACCTGTCCGTGGTGACGTCATGGTGGGATGCTCGTGTCCCTCAAGATGTTATGAAGGCTCTGATCACTGCTCTGTTGAAATTGCTGTATCACCAAGCCTGACCACGCAATACGTTGCCTTGTATGACAAGTGTAGGTTGCCTGGGACCTATTTGAACCCGAATCCCCACAGGGGGCTACTACTGAGGTTACAGATGTTACATTATGTGTGACCCCTCAGATGTTGATCAGTACTCATGCCATCAACCACTAGTCCATCGGGCTCAAATCCTGTGGGGATTCTGGGTAAGAAGAGGTTCCCAGCATTCTATGCGACCAAATGGATTGAGTGGTGAGGCTCGGTTACTTGGTTGATTGCATGTCATAGTTCCCCACGTTGCTCAAAATAATGATCCCTAGATTGTCTGGCCCAGACTCAACTATTTACAGACTGGCGTCATACAGCTGGAACATTGAGTGCAGAGTTAAACATCAAACAAAACAGTTTCCCGGATTTTGAAAGGCAGTGGTTTTGAGTAAATGATGCAGTACAAAACAACATTCATTTGCGTCTGATGGGTTGTCATAATAGTTATACAATGGAGTGGGAAAACAATAAAATCGTGTCCCTCAAGATGTTATGAAGGCTCTGATCACTGCTCACAGCTAACTTAGATTATTTCATCAACTGCTGTGTATATAATTTATAGCGTTTGTTTCATTCTGTTTTAGAAAACATTTCCTTGTGTATGATGTTTGCTAAGAATGTGACATTTGTTAAACAAATATAACCTGTTTGTGAGGCTTCAGTGCCTGTTCCACAAGTCTTGACAGGCCCAAGGACGATTGATGTAACAGATAGGTTTGTACTGGGAAGCTTGCACAAGCACCAAGTCTTTGTTTCATAGTGATGTATGGATCTGTAAGGAAGGAGTGGTGGATTGTTTGGTGGTAGAAGGAGTAGGGAGTTGGCACAGCTGCAATCTGTCCAACATGACCAATAAAATAGGAGTTGTTATCCATAAAGTGGTATGTTTTCCGTCGTCATGCATCATTGGCAAACAGGTTCTTCCACACTAAAGAAAACAAGCTACAATTTAGCTACTGTTTCATCTTGTATCGATTTAGAAAAAAATATATCCCATTGTGGAATGACAAATCGTGATGCACCAGTGTATTGTTTCACCCCTATTAATCTATCATGGATAGGGTCTGCTTCAGTTTCTTTTGAGTCGTATACATAAGTTGGGAGGATTACCTACTAAATGTTATAATAATTTGAAAGTATGATACACACTACTTGGGTTGATGGCTTCAGATGTTAGTACATTTGCTGGTAGGTGTTATGGGTGGGTGAATAAATGTGAATTTAAAGGCTGCATGAATAAACTAAATTCAGATTGTGAGAATAATACTAAGCCTTGTCCGTCCATGCACTGTACATGATATGTTCCTGTGATGGGCAATCAATGACATTAAGATGTAACTGAGAGTATGGCTGACGGTGCTACATGAAATATTATCTGTTGCTGGGTTGAAGATTTCAAGGGTGTACACTGCATTTATGGACTTTAATTACCTTGCAATGATACAATGCAAATGTTGATGGGGTCAATGTCACAGGCACAATTAATTGTGTTGACAATGAACACAATGTACATAATCACTAATAATATCGGTTACGGTTTTGAGAATTTTTTGCAGAAAATGGCATCAGATACAACAGACAGCATGCAGCAGCAATTTAATTTATATTCTAAAACTTAATAAAAATTATATCACAGTGAATTGGAACAAGCATATCCATGTCTTGAATTGTACCAAATCATAAGCGAGTCTGGACCTAACAATCACTGGATTGTCTGGTCCAGATTTGATTATTTACAGACTGCTGTCATATAGCTCGAATATTGCTGAGTGTGGCGTTAACACAAAAAACAAACAAACAAACAAACCATATCCATGTCTAACACAATGAATAAACATGAGGAACTTGTGGAGGGTAACAATTAAATTGAACTGTCGCAATTGTTTGCCCTACTATGGTACTATATCGATAGGAATTAGATATACCAAATAGTATTGTCAGTAGTATGCATAACATTAGATAGTTTCAATAGTTCAAATTAGAACTATCACCTACTATTTCAAAAGTGATATGTACTAATGCAATATAATCGCAATAGTGAAAATAGTGCCAATAGTCACCCCGATCAACTTAAGTGAATCATCAACACCCTTGATAATAAAATCCTTGAATGAATATTGTCCAAACCGAAATATCAGATTATTCTTACACATGAGTTAACCCCATTCCAACAGCCATAGTCGTTTGCAGTAACTGGGACTCGCTGTGGGTAAAATATGCATCCATCCTAATTATGATGCATATAGGAAACCCAATATTCTCATCACATGTGCAGTGTCCTACATGACCTAGAATCTCCTATCTACATCAGTCCCGATTACCATCAGACAACAACCTGTTCCTCACTGGCTGTAATCAGCGGTGGTATGGGCAACAAGATCGTCTGTCTCGCCACTAGCTATCACTTCAGGTGTAGTTACATAAGAGATAAGGGAAACTGTTAGGCAATCTGCCAATGGTTACAGTTACACCCCAATCATACTAGATCCCAAGATCCGTGAAGATGCAGGGTAGAATAGGTCTTCAGCAACCCATGCTTGCCGTAAAAGGCAACGATACTTGTCGTAAGAGGCGACTAAGAGGATCAGGTGGTCAGACTCACTGACTTGGTTGATGCATGTCATCGTATCCCAATTGCTTGGATTTATGTTCATGATATCAATCACAGGATTGCCGGTCCAGACTGCCGTCATTGAGTTGAAATATTGCTGAGTGCAGCGTGAAACAACAAACAAAGATCCCGTGCAGATCATGCTTGTCATGAGAGCAGACTAAATGGGGATTGGGTGCCCTGGATGTACGATGTGATGGGTGTGTCATCATACTCAGATGGTGGAAATTGGAAACTTACAGTCTGTGCATAACACTAAACACTTTTGAGACTACTACCTCAAACTTGGCTTTTACTTACAGTAGACTTTAGTGTAATATGTTGACTATTATCAACTGAGCTTACCAGTCTGGCCAGATTTAACGAGACTCAGGCTTTGGACCAAAGAGCAGACTGGGACTTATGCTTTCAGTAACTTCTTTACTAGGGCTGGGACGATACACCAACTGTGCGATCTGACTTGGTTGATGCATGTCATCGATCCCAATTGCGTGGATCAATGCTCATGACATCAATCACTGGATTGTCTGGTCCAGACTCGATTATTTACAGACCGCCGTCATATTGCTGGAATATTGCTGAATGCGGCGTTAAACAACAAACCAACCAGCCAACCAACGTATCTGTAGTGCGCAACCCATATTTTTCATCGACAGGATAGTCAAATACCTTGCACAGTGATTTACTGTTGGCAGTGTCAAGTATGGCACATTGGATGAAAATATGGACTTTTTCTTTTCTTTTTGACTAATTAGTGTTTGGTGTAACAAACAAGGTAAACATTTAAGGTATGAATCGATATATTTTACTTAATGTGCAACTGTGATCGATACTTGTTTTGGGATCCATCAATGCATTGGTGAATTATCCCAGCACTACTCTGTACCTAGGACCTGTTCCGCAAAGAGACTTTATCGCTATGACTATCGTAAGTCATGTTAAAATATGGGCGTTAAGTTGTCTTATCGAGTTTTATGTTTTATTCTGAATGTAAGTGTTGTGACATGTGATATCGTCTTGCTTACGATGCACACTGTTATGGTTGGAACATGAAGCTGAACAGTGACGTGATGAAACGCTTAATCCATTCTCTGAGATCACGTGACTGTTGCCATGGAAACACCGCAAGGTGAGGGATCATGGGTAATCTCTGGCCCCCAGGGTTCTCCTGTGTGTCGGGGTGACCTCGTGTGACCTGTCCGTGGTGACGTCATGGTGGGATGCTCATGTCCCTCAAGATGTTATGAAGGCTCTGATCACTGCTCACAGCTAACGTAACCTGAAAAATCTGAAAGCTTCAATCGTTAAAACACAGCTAAAATAAGTTCTAGTACCCGAAAATGTTTCCTCATTATGCAATACCTGTTGTAAGTGTATACTCATGTTTGTTGTTGTTTAATACTGCACTCAGCAATATTCAAGCTCCATGGCAGCCTGTGAATAATTGAGTCTGCCCTAGACAAACGTGATTAAAAGCAGCAATTCGCACAATTAGAGTACAAGGACATTCAATCAACCAAGTCCCCATGCCTGACCACCCAATCCATTTAGTTGCCTCTATGACAAGCATAGGTTGTCTGGGAACTATTCAAACCCAAGTCCCACACGGTGGCCTCTAATGAGGTTACATTCTTTTGTTGAAGAACGGGTAGAGAATAGGTCTTCAGCAACCCATGCTTGCCGTAAAAGCCGACTATGCTTCTCATAAGAGGCAACTAACGGGATCGGGTGGTCGGGCTCACTGACGTAGTTGATGCATGTCATTGTACCCCAATTGCGTGGATCCATGCTCATGATGTCAATCACTGGATTGTCTGGTCCAGACTCAATTATTTACAGACCACCGTCATGTTGCTGGAATATTGCAGAGTGTGGAGTTAAACAACAAACGGGAAAAACAAAATACATTCTTTTGCTACTAATGCTGTAATGGGTTTTCATAGTGATGTCGTGGTTCAATGTCTGAGGAAACAATATAATCGTTCCCTTTAGTATAGGTTTGTTTCTTTGTGATTTTTCTTTTACTCAAGAAATTCAGGTAGACAGTGACATGATGAAACGCTTAATCCATTCTCTGAGATCACGTGACTGTTGCCATGGAAACACTGCAAGGTGAGGGATCATGGGTAATCTCTGGCCCCCAGGGTTCTCCTGTGTGTCGGGGTGACCTCGTGTGACCTGTCCGTGGTGACGTCATGGTGGGATGCTCGTGTCCCTCAAGATGTTAAGAAGGCTCTGATCACTACTCTATTGACATTGCTGTATCCATTTCCACTGTGCGCTTGAATGTTTTGTTGCACCTCACAAAAACTTGAAGGGAGTTCTGCTTATAATGTCTTAATGTCCTTAAGAGTGAGATGGTTTACACATGTAGATATGAGGAAGTGCACGGGTGGCCCAGTGGTCTGTGACACTGCGTTCTCTCAGGATAGCCTGGTTGTAAGTTTGAAACCCAGAGTCCATTCATTATAATCCTGTATCTGACAGCACCATACCTATCCCAGAAGGTTTTACCATGGTGGTCAACTGCTATAACCTCATACAAAAAGTTGTTATTTTATAGCTGGGTGTGATAAACTAAAGGATTTGAAAATATTGTCAGAAGGAAGTGGTCTTTTCAAATGAGGCCCCTTAGACCAAAACCTTCATGTAAACTGCCTTCACCCATTCATTAATTTGACCGCCTCCATGGTCTAGTGGTAGAGCCTCCGCCCGGAGAGCGGAAGGTCCGGGGTTCGATGCTCCAAACGCGTCATACCAAAAGATGTTAAAAGATGGTACTTGTTGTTACCCTGTGTGGCGCTCGGCATTAAGGGGCTAAAAAAAGGACTGGTCGGCTTGGAGTCAGGATACTGTGTCTGAGTGGGGTATTCATGTTAAACTGCAGCATGGTATCTTCATGAGAGCGGAAGGTCCGGGGTTCGATGCTCCAAACGCGTCATACCAAAAGATGTTAAAAGATGGTACTTGTTGTTACCCTGTGTGGCGCTCGGCATTAAGGGGCTAAAAAAAGGACTGGTCGGCTTGGAGTCAGGATACTGTGTCTGAGTGGGGTATTCATGTTAAACTGCAGCATGGTATCTTCATGAGCTAGCACTATAAATCAGCATCAGTCCGCAAACAAACACACACACGTACATGCACGTCGCTATATAAGTGCCATAATCTTGGACGCGACGTTAAACCCCATTTCCCCTCACCCACCTCACCATTCATTAATTCACTCACTTATTCCATATACCCGTGAAGATCCAGCTTTCTCTAAGAGGCAACTAACGGGCTTGGGCTCGCTGACTTGGGTGATGCATGTTATCGTTTTGCTATTTGCGTAGATCAATGCTCATAATATCAATCGCTGGATTGTCTGGTCCAGACTTGATCATTTACAGACGTTATTATTGCTGGAACATTGCTCACCATTGTGGAGAGTGTGCTGTGAGGCACTGAACAACAAACAAGCACTGACTCCTTGATTCACTGACTAACTGACTGGTTCTGCTTGCAGGTGATGTACATGGGAGAGAAGCAGAGCTTCACACCAGAACAGCTGACTGGCATGATGTTGAGCAAGCTGAAACACATAGCAGAGTCGGCACTGAAGACCAAAGTTGTTGACGTTGTCCTGTCTGTAAGTCAACTACCTCTGTTACCTTTGAACAGCTTGTAATAACCTGTTTATGATAGAATTGTCATGAGGGTTTCAGAAGTAGCCTGTTAGCTCCTGAACTTTTGGCCCGTTTCCAGTTAAAATTACAAAGGGCTTGCTGAAACATAAAGTACATGGCGTTTCAGGGGGAGGAGTTCTAAAAATATCAGACACCTGCTACGTGGCTACACGACCTCAGGTTCAGCCACTTCGCAGTCTCCGCCATTTAGTTGTAGGCCAATTAGTTTGGAGAAGGGCCAGTAACTTTTAAAAGGAGCTGTTGGATACATACAAATTTGTTGTAAAGTCTGCCCCTGGGGTTTCCTTCTCAACAGAGTAACTATCGGATAAAGATTCAGCTGTTAATAATTGAACATTGATTGCAGACTTTTTTAATTTTTTGATACTCAAAATAGTTGAGGAAATTAATGTTTGCTTTATGTTGGCACTTGTATGGAAATGTTGTTGACTCCTGGCCTTTGTTGTAGGTGCCGACATACTACACAGATGCTGAGAGACATGCTCTCCTTGATGCCTGTCAAATGGCTGGACTCAACTGTCTCCGGCTCATGAATGACACCACAGCAGGTAGGTGTCGCTTGAAGCTAGATACAGACATTACTTCATGGGTGTGTCTAAGATATGAACGAAAACGAGTTACATATGTTTTGAAACAAGTTGTAAGATGAATGGTATATGACAGGCACGAGTGCAATAATCTGTTCTTACACACCCAATTTTCTCACCATTTTGGCATCGAATCGCATAATTTGTCTATATCTCATAATTAGTACATAACACAACAGTCATGAGTGATGTAATCTGGCTTACTACTCATACCTACTGTGACTCTCCATACTAAAGTTTTCGTCATATCTGTGGATTATCCAGGCGATTCAAACTAGATAAGAACGAAGTACTCGACTGAGCTCGAGAAACTTATCAATGGATTACAATCAGGAATGTTGTCATTCGTAATCCGTAGGTCATCACCATGGAGTAGCCAATTACAGTCCTGAAATTAAATATCACACATATCTAAGACCAGTTATCTCAGACGGGTTTCTCACACACAGGTTTGTAAGAGTAGGTTGTCATTTAAAAAGTCTGCCTTCCTTTTTATTGTGATTTTCACGGCCCTTTTCAGTTTGTGAAACCATGGGTTTATTTAAATACGAGTCATTCTGCTTGTTGAACGTTTTCTTACAACAATTGTCTGATGGAAAAGGTTGACTATTAATATGACAATGGTGCTTGCAGCGGCTCTTGCCTATGGCATCTACAAGCAGGACCTTCCAGCTGAGACGGAAAAGCCCAGGAATGTCATCATCATCGACTTTGGCTATTCCTCCATGCAGACAGCGGCGTGCTCATTCCACAAAGGCAAACTGAAGGTATGAGTTGTCTGCCCACCCATGAGAGATGCTGTCATACAGACTCGGACTCCCCATGGGGGACTTGAGTTAGAACTGGTCCTTGCCAACTTCAGCTTGTCATAAGAAGCAATAGTGTGGATAAGGGGAGGTCAGGCGAGAGTGGACAATGTTGTACAATGTTGGACAAAGCCCATATCAGTCATTGGATTGTCTGGTCCAACTGAAATATTGCTATCATTTTTCACTTAAACTCACTTGCTCACTCCACTTATTTCTTACTATCTCTCAATTGTTTCAAATCAGGGGTACCGGCTATTTCATCTTTCAGGGATATGGGGAAACCAGCTGTTTTGATGTTTCAGGGATATTGGGGAAATCCAGCGGTTTTGATGTTTCAGGGGTATGGGGAAAACAGCTATTTCATGTTTCAGGGGCTAGAGGAAACTATCTATTTATGTTATGTTATGTTATGTTATTTAATTATTATCAGGTTTCCTCCCACATTAAGCTGACATGTTGGGTATGACTGAAGTTCTGTTTACTAGGACATGAGGGGGCACGGGTGTCCCAGTCGTCTAAGGCGCCGCGATTGCAGTGCAGAGTTGCGTCCCTTGGGTGCGCCAGAAACCTACGATTGTGGGTTCGAATCCTGGTTCGCCCTGATTATGTTTCTAGGTTTGTCAGCACCATACCCGTGCTCGTGGGTTTCACTGAAGTGGTAAACGTCTGAGACCTGCATCACTTCGGGCTTTCCTCCCACATTAAGCTGACACGCAGTGATATACCTGGAATACTGATAAAAGCCGTGTTAAACCCAACTCACTCGCTCGCTCACTACAAGGACATGATACCCAACTTACAAACATTCTCCTTGTTTCAGGTGGTCGCAACATCCTCGGACCAACAGCTGGGTGGACGCAACTTTGACGAAAAGCTTCACCAGGTGTTCCGAGAAGAATTCAAGACAAAGTACAAAATAGACCTGGAGACGAGGCCAAAGGCTTATCTGCGCATGCTTCAGGAGTGCGAGAAACTCAAGAAGCTGATGAGTGCAAACACACAGAGCATTCCAATCAATATTGAGTGTCTCGCAGATGACAAAGATTTCAAATCCAGAATGGAAAGGTTAGCATGAAAGTTTACCTTCATATTGATGTAACTACTTACAGGTTCTATGAATAGGATTGGCCAGATTTAAGCAATAGGTTCACAATGTGAGTAAAGGTGTTATGATTCACTGTACTCAGTGCAATATTCTGACCCACCATAGGAGTCGATAAAAAATGATGCATATAAAATTGTATTAAAGCTAATTGTAAAGTACTGCTTTCTGCCTGGATGTGCGACAGACCTAAGGCCACAGTCCTCAAAATGTGTAGGTTTGGCTTAAGAAGATCCGAGGTAGAATAGGTCTTCAGCAACCCATGCTTGCCATAAGAGGCGACTAACGGGATCGGGTGGTCAGACTTGTTGACTCGATTGATGCATGTCATCGTATCCCAATTGTGTGGATCAATGCTCATGATTGTCTGGTCCAGATTTGATTATTTACAGACCGACGTCATATAGCTGGAATATTGCTGAGTACGACGTTAAACGAACAAAACAAAAACAAACTTATCGTTCAAGTTGATGATTGATTCAAGTTGATGATTTCCCGGCATGGCTCTAGTGGATAGAGAGTCTACCAACTGAGTGGAAGGTCAGTGGTTCCCTGGCCATGTCATTCCAAATTTTGTTAAAAGATGGTATTTGTTGTCCGTCTGAAATGACCTGCAAACTATTTCAATATGAGCAATGGTGTCTAGATTTGTTTACAGGCTGGCATGGTTAAACTAAATATTGCTGACATCAGCATTAAACTGCTTATTTGCTCAAGTAGCCGCATCATGGGAACCATGGTGATATGTGTCAAAAACATACATGGAACAAAGTTGGCGGAGAGTATTGAAATGGGTTCCGTCCATCTGTGCGTGCGTCCCGAAATCGTTTCCGGAGCATAACTCAGAAAACTTTTAATATTTCTCCAAGAAACTTTGCATGTCTGTCAGACTCATGCTGAACTGGTGCCTTTGCTATTTAGGAATTAGAAATTTCTGTTTTTTACATTCCATGCCAACAAGTTGGACTTTGGTTCTATAAGGGTGGTGTTCATTTCCGGAGAGCAACTCAAAAACTGTTAAGTACTTTCTTACAAAACTTTGCATGTCTACCAGGTACATAATGAACTGGTACCTTTTGCTATTTAGGAGTTTTAGAAATTTATATTACTGGGCATTATTTCCAGAGCTTGACTGTATGGGGATACAGATGACTTTGTCGACTATGCGCTTGTTTTCCTTTATCTATATCTGAAGACTGTCATGGTTGTAAACATATTTCATCTTTCAGAACACAATTTGAAGAGCTCTCTGATGATTTGCTAAAAAGAATAGAATCTCTCCTGAAGGATATTCTGGAGAAGTCCAGTAAGTTACTGTTCATCCTTACATGATGATGATGATGATGATCTAAGGTGATGCAATTTACTGTACTAGGTTGCATCCCTTGAACAGACCAGAAATCTATGATCGTGGGTTCGAATCCCTGTTCACCCCAATTATGATTCTAATACTTGTGCTCGTGGGTTTTAACCAAAGTGGTGAATGTTTCCTCCCACGAGTGATGTAACAGAAATTCTGTTCAAAATGGTGTTGAACCCAAATCACTCACTCACTAGCTCTGCTGATAAACACAGAAACCTGTATTCTTTTCATCTTAGGAACAATTGTTCAGATATCCTGTGAAGTTAATTATTCAATACTTGTCAAAGAAAAGATTAAAAACTGCTGTCCTGCTTGCATGAAGCAAATCAATAAGTAACTTTACCCATGGAGATCTGGGTCAGAATAGGTCTTCAGCACCCCATGCTTGCCGTAAAAGGTGACTATGCTTGCCGTAAAAGGTGACTATGCTTGTCACAAGAGGCAATTAACGGGATCGAGTAGTCAGGCTCGCTGACTTGGTTGATGCATGTCATGAAGCAACAATCTAACAAAGGTGGCTGGCTATGTATGATGAAGCTTTCATTTTCATTTCTCATGGTTGCTGAAATTCTGTTTTGTTTCAGTGTGGAAAACTAGTGACATATACTCGGTGGAGATTGTTGGTGGTTCTAGTCGTATTCCGTCATTCAAGAAACTGGTTACAACCATATTTGGCAAAGAGCCTAGTACCACTCTCAATTCTGACGAGGCCACATCTAGAGGCTGTGCACTACAGGTAATGGGGCTTCTCTAATGCAAGGCTAGAGAAATAGTCCTTAATTCTTAGGCCAGTAATCATTAGTGAAACAACCAACATCAATTTCTACTTTCAGACAGAATGAATAAAAAATTTTAAAAAAACTTTGATATTTTGTTGCAATGTAGGGGAACAATTGTCATTTTCATATTATCCCGCCCCCTTCCCCCCTTCAACCCCTCCCACCAAGAAGTGGGCAGGGGATATAGGAATGGGTGCTGTCCCTCTGTCCGTCATGGCCATGACCTATTAACTTATACGCATATGAAAATATTTGGACACGTCTTTTGAGTAGTATCATTTCCCATCATTAGTTAATGATGGGCTCCTGAATTTAATGTATCATTATCATTTGGGTTTAATGTAGCCATTAGTTAATGATGGTTTGATAGAACCGGGTCCTGAACACATTCCTGCCATCTGATTGGCTGAATTACACATGGCGGTCATTCAAGGTTATTGTAAACAGATTCAGGGAGGCATGTGTACCTGGTCTATGTTGAGGAAATAAGTGTCTTATCAATATTTTGGGGGGGTTAGGAAAATGCAGTGTTGGGGCTGTTGTTTGTAGATTTTCTAAGTGATACAAGCACCTTTCGTAGTTTAAAGGTATGTAGTACATGTATGTGATGGAATGTGTTTCCAGTGTGCAATTCTGTCACCGACGTTCCGTGTGCGGGACTTCCATGTGACCAACTCGCAGCCCTACCCCATCACCCTCAGCTGGCAGGGAACGATAGACGAAGACAGGTGAGCAGCTTAACTTACTCGCTGGGCGTGTTTCCACATTGTTTCAATGTACCCTCCATTACCAGATTTGCCATATTAAGCACCCTGCTACAATAAGCTCCCTTGACCCAGTTCTCGACAAATCTTAAGTAATCCCCGTTACTCAGACCGAAAATATATATGACAGTCCATATGTTCTTGTGTATTTGACAGAAAACAGTTCCATAGAAGGGGTATATATTTGCTATTGTTGAAATTTTTTTTACTTTCATCAATGTTTGAACTAAATTTCTAAAATGAAGATATGTATAACTTGTGTATGGTTTCAATAAGTGCTCCCCTTTTGTCAATTTTTGTAGATCATTGCATTGATATAGGTTATCCTCAATGAATCAATCAAAATGAAGTGTATTGTACATCATATTGTTGACTTAAATGTGGAGGTGAATAGTTTCTATATTGAGTTTGAGGCAGCTGAGAATTGTTTTAGCCATAATTACAAGAACCAGGCATTAAGAGTTCTCTGTTGGGTTAAATGTTGCAGTGAAGCTTTTCTATTGTGTAATGTAGCACTCGATGTATGTTTCAGTTCGCTGGAGGTGTTTCCACAGAATCACGCTGCACCCTTCTCCAAGATGCTGACATTCTACAGGAAGGAACCATTCTCACTGTTTGCTAAATACACATACCCCAACAATATTCCATACCCTAAACCAGAGATAGGTAATTGAATTACGTTGATGATCATAGTGTGTCTATTATAAACCTGTGAAGACCTGGGGTAGATAGGTCTACAGCAACCCATTCTTGCCGTAAAAGGTGACAATGCTTATCGTAAGAGGCGACTACCGGGATCGGGTCTGACTTGGTTGATGCATGTCATCATATTCCAATTGCATGGATCAATGCTTATGATGTCAATCACTGGATTGTCTGGTTCAGACTCGATTATTTAACAGACCGCCGTAAGGGCGCTGGGGTGGCTTAGTGCTTGAGGCGCTCACTCGTCACACTGAAGACCCATCCGGGTTTGATTCCATTTCAAGCCCATTTCCGGTGTTCCCCGCCGTGATATTGCTGGAATATTGCTAAAGCGCAGTGAAGCCACACTCACTACAGGCCACTGTCATATAGCTGGAATATTACTGAGTGCGGCGTTAAACAACAAACAAAAAGCGTAATGAATGCAATATGTGTTTCAGCAATTTGTGCTGCATAGAGTAGGCTTCTGGTCATCAGTGAGTAGCACTGACCAGCTAGGGTGTGTTATTAAGAATTATCATGGACATCACCTTGTTACGTATTGTCTATATTATTCCAGAGATAAGGTTGCTTGAAATAATTCAAAATGCTGACCACCATGTGTGATCATATATCTTTAAAAATTATGAGACAGTTTGTTTACAAAGATTCTAAATAATTTTGGTATTTAACAATTTGACACTTGTTAATGATGTTATTTCTCTATTTCTAGGAACTTTCTTAATAGAAAAGGTCGTACCCCAGAGCAGTGGGGACAGCTCCAAGGTGAAGGTGAAAGTAAGGATAGACAGCAATGGTATATTCAAAATAGCACAGGCCAGCATGGTGGAGAAGCTTGGAGAGGAGGAGAGCGGCCAGAATGAGCAGATGGATGTGGACGATGAGAAGAAAAATGAGGAGAAGAAGAATGGAGAAGCTAATGCCAGCATGGAGGAGGAGACCAAGGAGGCTGGCAGCGAGGAGACGCCCATGCAGACTGACGAAGCCCCCACGGGGGAAAACAGCACAGAACAAGCTGGGGATGAATCCCAGCCTATGTCCAACTCTGATGAGAAACCAGCGGTAGGTAATGTAGTACCTGCCATGTTACACAAGGCTCAGTCTATTAATCACATATGAACCGCCTCCGTGGTCTAGTGGTAGAGAGTGGGAGAGCGGAAGGTCCGGGGTTCGATCCCCGACCGCGTCATACCAAAAGACGTCAAAAGATGGTACTTGTTGTTACCCTGTCTGGCGCTCGGCATTAAGGGGCTAAAACAAGGACTGGTCGGCTCGGAGTCAGTATACTGTGTCTGAGTGGGGTATTCATGCTAAACTGCGGCATGGTATCTCAGTGAGCTAGCACTATAAATTGGCATCAGTCCGGACTAGTACAAGCAGCCACGCAAACACATACACGTACATGCACGTCGCTATATAAGTGCAATAATCTTGGACGCGACGTTAAACCTCATTTCACCTCACCTATTAATCACATGTAGTGGTGGAGCAATGTGATCAAATACTCGATCAAACTTGCCATTCATTGATTTCTAAACTGACACATTGATAAGGCAATTCTGTAAGTAATATGTATGCTGTCTCTCAGTTTAAAGCCTGACTCACAATAACAAGATAGGTCCATGGTAAGAATGGGTCACGACAATTCGGCCTTTCAAGCATCAGTTCCAGCAGTAAAACAATTAGTGCTCAGTGAGGAAAAAAAGCTCTGATTATCAGTGTGAATATTCAGGGCGATGGGTAGCACTAGTCATGGCCACTTTACACACGAGTACGTCGCAGGTCATGAAAAAGATGCCAAAACGCGTGGTCAGGCTAGTAGACTTTTAACAGGAGTGGTAGAAACAGGGTTGATTAACCATGTCAAACAGTTCATTGCAAAAAACATGTAAAATACGATAAATGCTTCTGATACCATAGCTGCTAACTGTCCTTAATTTTTGTATTTGTAATAATTACATTAAGTAATACGTTACCACTGTTATGCCGAAGCTGTTGTCTCCCACAACTGCTGCTATAGCTAAATCTACCAAAGAGATGTCAATTACCTCATGCAGCACGTGCGTAGCCACCTAGCTGCCATGTGACACCCTTCACTCTTGTCTCCTTCGCTTGCTTAGCAAGACGTGTAATCCTCTGCTGAAGCGTTCCTCAAATATTCGGTAATATTTATTATAGTTTATTCTCTTATGCTTTTATGGGGTGTTGCGGTAGCTACGCTTGGTTATAATTTTCCCGCCAAACGGAGAATTTTTTCCCGCCCTTTTTTCTCTATACTTGCGGGGTTCGCGTATGCACTGTGTTTTTTTGTTTCCCCGGTTCTTGTATGTTTTGGGGGTTAACATCACTTATTTCTCTTTATGTTATATGTGTATGTTATATGTTCACATTTTGGTTTATTTTCTTGTGAAAATGCTCGTTTGTGAATCATTGTGGTGCGTGCATTGTAACCATGTTTTGCTCCTTGTTCATAGAATTAAACAAACATGTCTGACATGGAAATGTCCCCGGTTGCAACCCCCTCTACCCCTGCTCCTCGGTGTTGCGGAGTGTGCCGCAAATTCTTGTTGTCCCGGGATCCCCATGATCGTTGCCCGCAGTGCAGGGTTCCTTGCGGGGACACCCTGTGCGAAGGTCTGGGGCCTGCGGAGTTTGAGCGTTACCGACTGTACGTCCAGTCCGTCTCCACCCCTGTGGTGGCCGGTTCGTCCGGTCGGGGCCCCCTGTGCGGGTACCACCTCCTCGGCTGCGGCGGATCCCTTTGCGGCCCTCGGGCTGTCTGGGGATTCCGTCGCCGCATTGTTGTCTAAACTTGTGGACTCCAAGCTGGCGGCCTTATCGCAAGATAGGCCGCTGGCTGTTCCGTCCCCGGCCTCTTTGGTGGCCACGGGGTCCACCGGTACGGCGGCTGCCGTGGTTACCGGTCCTTCCCCCGAACCGTTGCTTCCGCTATCGGTTAAGGACCGCATGGCCATGGTTTATGACCTCTTCGAGGACATGCCCAAGCCCCTGCCGATACCGTGGGGAATCCACGGTTCCGTGGGTTCCTCCGAGGTGTACGACGAGCCGTCCGACAAGGCTTTCCCGGCATCAACCTTGCTGCGCGGGATTAAGCCTTCTTTGGAGAAGGCCTTCGCGGCCGCTTCCGGTCGGGGTCTCCTGTTACCTCCACCGTCGTGGAGAAAAGGGTCTTTCCCGGTACATGACCTTGCCTTTCCCGAGGCTGGTCCTTCCGCGGAAGCCCATGTGGAGCGTTTGGGGGTCCGTGCCCCACCGGTTGCCACGGTACCACAAGGTATCGAGGCCTCAGGATCCGAGCCCCACAGAGTGGATGCTGAACCCAGTAGTGTTTCAGCGGCTGTGCGAACGTTTGGGTCGTCCGATGGTCGACCTGTTCGCAACGCGGTTCAACAATCAACTCCCATTGTTTGTATCACCAGTCCCGGACCCGAGGGCCATCGATCACGATGCTCTCGCGTTAGACTGGACGGGCTTGGACGCTTATGCTTACCCGCCGACAGCGTTGATACCACACATTCTAAGCCGGCGCTGTCGAATGTTACTGATCGCGTCCATGTGGCCGAACAGATCGTGGTACCCCGACTTGCTGACCCAGGTCACGCAGTTGCCACTTCCACTGCCTGTGAGACCGGATCTCTTGATCCACCCTCACACCCGTCAGCTTCATCCAAACGCAGGGCAGTTCAATCTGCACGAGTGGATGTTGTCACCGAGCGTCTGAGGAGTAAAGATTTTTCTTGCCGGGCGTCTCTGGCATACGTTATTATGCATCGTGATTCTACCCAGAAGGTGTATAATGCACGTTGGGTTATTTTCACGAAGTGGTGTTGTAAACATCACATTCATTCGCCAGATAAGGTATCTGTGCAGGATATTGCTCGTTTCATGTCTCACTTGCGAGAGACCCGGAAACTCTCCAGGGGGTTCCATTGCCAACTATGTCTCGTCCGTTGCTACGGTACGGGACGTTGCTATGGGTACCAGTCTCTCCAAAGAGCCGGTGATACGGGGTATTATCAAGGGTTTCAAACAGCACGATCTTAAGAAGGGCCGCCTTCGGGCACCGGCCTGGGATCTTTCCCTAGTGTTGCAATCACTTACGGAAGCTCCGTATGAACCCTTGCATAGTGCTTCGTTCCGGCATGTGACTTGAAAACAACAGCATTTCTCCTCTCCTTTGCCACGGCGGCACGTGTATCCAAATTTCATGCACTCGATGTTGCCAAGGTACGATTCGATAGGGGTGACGAAGGAGCGGTCCGCCTGGGCCTGCTCATGGGCTTCGTCGCCAAGAATCAGAGAATCGGGCAAACGGAGAGAGAATTCACTGTAAGATCACTCAAAGAAATCTGATACTGAGGACAGAGTGCTGTGTCCGGTTAGGGCCCTTAAGTATTATCTTAAGGCTTCGAATGAACGTAGACAAGGGCGTGACCGTCTGTTCATATCGTGTAACCCTAATCGCACGGTTGACATAACTTGCAACTCGATTGCGTTGTGGCTTCGTTCTGTCATCAATCTGGCGTACCGGTCTCGGGGGTTACCAGTAGCGGGGTCAAACCCGCACGAGATCAGGGCACTAGCGGCAACATTTGCCCTACACTCGAATATCTCTGTTCACAGAATATTACGAGGTTGTTACTGGCGTTCTGACTCGGTTTTTGCCAATCATTACCTCAGAAAGGTTTCTGATAAAAACGTGGAGGGGGTGCACCGTCTTGGGCCGCTGATCGCGGCACAAGTGGTCATCTAGGGGGGGTGTCCAGTGCAATTCCACACTCCGCAGTCGTCAGTCCTTGCACGGTGGTCAATCTGGGTCGTCTCCAATGTTCCCACGCCGTGGGTATAGGAGTGGGGGTCCTGCAAACCAGCGCACTCACACCACAGGTGAGGCGGCTTTTTGTGTGTTTTGTCCTTATTTGTATTTTGACAATTATGCATTTAATTGTCTGTCGTGTATTCCAACCTTGTGATACATGCTTACGAATACTGGAATTAGGTCACGCGCATATTACATACTTTAAGTAGGCTTGCTCGGGGATATACGGTCTGAATGAAATCAATTTCCCTCTTTCGACTGTTTAACCTGATCTAAGATTTAGCTCACGCGGATACAGTGTTCTCATCCGCTGCGGCGATGAAATACCTATCCAGTGGGGCCGTTTGGAGTCACCAATCGTTTTGGCAATGACGATTGAGCCTTATGGTATACGCTTGACAGTGCTTTGGTATTCCTATAGGGTAACGTCTAGCTAGGTGCATGCGCATCGAGTGCTTCCGCCTTGGTGTTTACTTCCGCTGGTCGGAAGGAACGCTAGCAGTCAGGATTCGGGTTGTAGGTGCTCCCCACCGCCTACTGTGGTAGTCAGCCTTGGTATAACAGTGGTAACGTATTACTTAATGTAATTTGTAGAATTTTCCTATTCGGAATATTCTATAAGTAATACGTTACCACTGGGCTGCTGCCCGCCCGTCCGTCCCCCGAGCACTTGCTCTCGCAAGAGACAAGAGTGAAGGGTGTCACATGGCAGCTAGGTGGCTACGCACGTGCTGCATGAGGTAATTGACATCTCTGTGGTAGATTTCGCTATAGCAGCAGTTGTGGGAGACAACAGCTTCGGTATAACAGTGGTAACGTATTACTTATAGAATATTCCGAATAGGAAAATTCTACAAAATTTGCAACTAGAATAGGAAAATCTGATTTCTTACTTAATTGATATGAATAATATTGATGTGTTCTGTTTGTGCTCTGCCAGGAAGGGGAGGAGGACAAGAAGAAGGGAAACAAGAAACCCAAGAAAACGACACGGACAGTCGAACTCCCGGTCCAGTCAACCACCCCAGCAATCCCTAAAGATCAGATTAATTTGTACATAGAGAAAGAGGTATGTTATCATCCCCCTCCGGCTTCTTTATGTGTTCTCAACCTCTCTGGGGGCGATCGGGTAGCCTAGTGGTTAAAGGGTTCGCCCGTCACGCCGAAGACCCGGGTTCGAATCCCAACATGGGTACAATGTGTGAAGCCCATTTCTTGTGTCCCCCGCCGTGATATTGCTGGAATATAGCTATAAGCGGCGTAAAACCATACTCACTCACTCACTCACTCACTCACTCACTCACTCAACCTCTCTGGAGGGGTATATTGTGTTATGTACCAAGCATGGGCGGATCCAGCATTTTTAAAAAGATGGGATCCAAAATATCAAAATACTCTAGATGGGAAGGGGTCTGGGTCCACCTGGGTCTACCTGGATCCTACGCCCAGTGTGAGTCTATGTTCTCAGAAACATCAGGCACACAGGGTACACCACACAATATGCCTAGAGGGATTGGTTGACATTCATTCATACAGGTGTTAGCAAGACTGTCTTGAGTAAAAATACAATACAAAGGGCTAAACAAACCAAGTTACTTCCCTTTGCCAAATACATTCGGATAAACATCGGTTCATTTCAGAAAGTCAATGATACTTTTGCGAGATAAGTAAGATACCTAGAATGTGTTCTGATTGATTTCTCAGCAGGCTTCACAGGGTGTGTTAAACAACAACAAAACAAGCAAGCAAATAAAGTTGTGTTATGATTGTGTTCCCCAGAACCAGATGATCATGCAGGACAAGCTGGAGAAGGAGCGGGCGGACTCTAAGAATGCGGTGGAGGAGTATGTGTATGAGATGAGGGAGAAACTTAGCACGACGCTGGAGGAGTACGCCAAGGAGGAGGTGAGGACAGACCATGTGTTACAGGCACTGGAAATACACCCACAGTCCATCACATGTTCACATTGGTTTCTTTATTGATGAATTTGGCCACAGTTTTAGCCTTATTTGTATCAGCTGTGGGTTCATATCCCATATTCGTTCTGATTTGATCCCTGATCTGTCAGCGCCTTACCTTCATCAAAGTAATCTATATCAAGACCTGCATCACTTTAGGCATGCTGTTAACAGTGACATGATGAAACGCTTAATCCATTCTCTGAGATCACGTGACTGTTGCCATGGAAACACCGCAAGGTGAGGGATCATGGGTAATCTCTGGCCCACAGGGTTCTCCTGTGTGTCGGGGTGACCTCGTGTGACCTGTCCGTGGTGACGTCATGGTGGGATGCTCGTGTCCCTCAAGATGTTAAGAAGGCTCTGATCACTGCTTATGAACGAGTTTAAGGCTTTTAGTGGATGCTTTTTGCAGTTGATATATTTCTTTTCATGTGAAGTCTGTTTTTCAAATCTGTTTTTGTTTTTTATTGAAATAGGGTTGATTTTAGAAAATGATTGTGTGAACAAAAACCTGACAGAGACTATAGTTCCGTGGGTGTGTTACAGGATCGGGCTCACCTAAGCAAGTTGTTGGAGCAGACGGAAGATTGGCTCTATGACGAGGGAGACGATCAGAATAAGCAAGTCTATGTTGACAAACTGGCAAGTTTAAAGGTTCGTACCGGATCAGAAAATGTAACTCCAAGACCAGTGCTATGCTTGTCATGGGAGGAACTAAGGTTGGGGTAGGGTGACCATGGTTGTTCCATGATGTGGATAATATCTGTATGGCCAGGTTCAACTGGATGATTTGGTCCCTTCTGGATGGATGGATCAATGCTTTGCCTGATCATCGGCCTTCTGAAATTTTGCCATGGCACAGAAGCCTTAATCCTTCCTTCCAAACATGGGCTAATCTATCTGATAGGAACAATTTTTATTGGTTACAAATAAGTCCCTTATTATGCAGAATGGCATCCCTTGACTGTACAAGGCATGGATGGTCACTGGCTTGAAATACAAGATTCCCCCTGAATCAGATCCTTGTGTTAGCACCGTATCTGTGCTTGTGGTTTTCACTGAACGGGGAATTGTTTGTGACCTGCGTTAATTTTGCTTCCCTCCCAAAACAAGCTGACTCGCTGTGACTTGACTAGCACACTGTTCAAACGGCATTAAACATGTTAAACCCAACTCATTTATTCATTTTAGAAACTTGGCCAGCCAATTGTGGACCGCCAGAGAGAGGCCCAGGACCGGCCACAGGCTTTCAATGAGATAGGCAGCTCACTACAGCATGTGAGGAAATTCTTGGATATGTGGAGTCAAAAGGATGAGAAGTACGACCATATAGACAAGTCTGATGTGGACAAAGTGCAGAAATGTTACGATGAAAAGTTAAAGTGGTACGAGACAAACATGAACGTTTCAAACAATGCTAAGAAATATGAGAGTCCTGTTGTGCTGGTTTCACAGATTTTACAACAGAAGCAGGTGAGTCTTCTTTATTTTGCTGGCATGGATTGTTCAAATATCAATTACTGGAGTGTGGTTCAGACCATGTTACGTAGAGGCCACCATCTTATAGCTAGAATACTGTTTAGTGCAGCGTTACACAACAAGAAAAGAAAAAAATAAATATTTTTCTACTCATTTTTTACCAAATGATTATCTGATGGCTTGTTGCTTTTTGAGAGTTCAGATTGGATTATTTGTTGACCTGACTGAAAGGTGACACTGCAGTTGGCTTTTTGTGTGTTCACAGTTAAGTTGCATCACATGAACCCGACGTTGTAGATCGTTGCTCATGATTTCTGTCACTTACTTGCCTGGCCCAGACTTCTTCACACATCATTGACCCGTGAAGATTCCGGGGTATATAGGTCTTCAGCAACCCGTACTTGCCGTAAAAGGCAACTATGCTTGTCGTAAAAGGCGACTAACGGGATCGGGTGGTCAGGCTCAATGACTTGGTTGATACATGTCATCGATCCCAATTGTGTGGATCGATGCTTATAATGTCAATCACTGGATTGTCTGGTCCAGACTCGATTATTTTGCGTTAAACAACAAACAAACAAAAGAATCACACATCATTGTCATGTATCTGAAATATTGATGACTGACATTAACAAACATCTCACTGTTGTCTTAGTGTTGTCTGTGATTTATCTAGACCTGTTTATAGGCACAAATTCGTCTCAAGACGATGATTTTTCACTGATTACCTGGCCAGGCAATCTTGTTTGGAATCCTTTGAATACCTCCTTGTACTCACAGAGCTCCAGATAACATTTTGAGCAATTGAGATTTTACTGGAAGGTTTCTTTTTTAATTGGTTATTACATTTTTCATTGGGTAACCAATATTTATTTTCACTTGTCTATTCATCACTCTATTGGTTACGCATGCTGAAAAAGCTTCATTGTGTATTTATGCGTTCTGTTTTTACCCATTTGAGTTTTTCATTTAATGCATGTGTTTCTGTACGCAAGTTAATGAAAAAAAAATGGGTTTTGAATATTTTGGGGGCGGTAATTTACGCATATACGCAGCTTATCTGTAGCTCTGTACTCATGTTGTCAGTCTGTTGCTTTCAGTCCCTAGAGTCTACTGTGGCACCGATCATGTCAAAACCCAAACCTAAAGTAGAACCTCCGAAAGAAGAAAAGAAGGAGACCAAAGCAGAAGGAGAGAAGAAAGAAGAAGCCACCCCTGAGGAGCCTAAGTCAGCGAAACAAGAACCGGAGGTTAAGCCGGAGATGGATGTGGATTAATAATTTGCCAACCCTAGGGTTTTGTTTGAGTGAAACTGGCGGCAAGTTGTACTGCAGTCAGGCATCAGAAGAACGTTCTTGAAGTTGAATGAAAGTGCTGTTCTCTAACTTATTTCAAATCTGATTTGTTTAATTGTGTTTCACAATGTTCTCAATTGTCACACACAAGTTGTTACGCCAATGAAGAAAGTTCCCCACGTCTCTCGTCTCACTCATTTAGTTTATGGTAATTCAGGACTTGAGGACATCCAAATCCTGAAATGTTAGATGATCTTTGTTCTGCATTTCGATGGATATACATTTGGGATGTCACTGCATCATAGTGCAACCTTCACGTCTCGGAGTTAAATCTTAAACAGGGCTCACTTGCATTGAGGACGGGTACAAACGTCATAAATCACCTGTACAGCATCAAATGAACTGTCTTTTGTTGACATGCTGAGTTGAAGGTGATGTAAGTCGGATAAGTAAATACAGGGTTCAAAATTAACATGTCCGCTAGTCCAAGACAAGTAAGTCGGGAAGGACTAGTGACATTTCCTTGTGTCCTTTACCATTAAGTTGATGGTATGTCTGTAGCAGAATTTACGGACAAGAGAAAATAAAAGTCAAATTTATGACCCTGAAATTCCCTCTATGATGTATTCTATTCATAATGGCAGTTAGAAGTGAGATCATTAGGGATGATTAGAGATCGTTGTTATCTTTGCCTCAGATGCTACTGTACTTAGTGTTATATGTGTAACGTTTGTGATGTTTAGGCAGGAATCAAAATGTTACTGATTTATTCATGTGAAAAGTTGATTATGATTTATCATTCTCATGTTACTGTTATCCTCTGAAAATATTGTTTGTGTTTTGCTGAGGTACTCCGGCCTAATGTTGCTCCATGTACAAGGGGCATCGGGGACCAGTGGTCTTACACAACTTGCTGTGCAGAGTTGTCCCTTAGCATCTTAGACCAAGTGTATTATATCAAGCTTCTTCCGAACACGACACCTTCGTTACCTTGCGGTATCATCGCTGCCACCAGTGTGCATATGGCCAAATTTTTCCTCCAACCCCAAATGAGGTGATACTTATATTTTTGTCTCGGCCAGTGAGAATGCCATTCTAGTGAATTGGGAAATGTTTACCAAATAACTTAATATTTCCAAGATAAATTTAAGTTAGTTTGCAATCTCGTGCCAATCTGATTAAACAAACTGAAAAGCCCCAATCTTCCCCTGTACCTTCTCACTATACTACTTTATGATAGTTGAAATGAAATAGAAATTCAACTTGTTAATCAAACAATGCAATTTAGCTGGGGGGAAAGTATTCAGCATCATGTCACTCATCTGTCAACAAGTCATTCAGTTGCGAGTTCAACTCCATGCATGGCTGTGGCTGCCTAGCACAGTGGGGAGCTGTGTCTGGTGGTAGTGATAGTATAGAGTACTCCACGAATGGGCGATCGCTGTGAGGAGCTTGGTATTGTATATCCTTTCATTTATGATAGTACCATGAACCCATTAGCAAGCATTGAGAATGATTTTTTAATGAAACATCTAAATAGCTGTTAATCAATAATGAGGGATGGGAACTTCAGACAGAAGTTCCTGATAAGAGACCAAAATAGTGATGTCACTTCCTAAGCTAATGTTGCAATGGACTTGGTGTTAATCATTAGAGACATGCACAGGACAGTGGAGGAGAATTCCAATCCAAGGTTGCCCCCGATAATGTTCTGAGTCTATCAGCTCTATCATGCTTGTGGTTTCACTGAAGTTGTAAGCATTGACGACCTGTGTCAGTTCAGGGATTCCTCTCCAAGAGCTGACATGCTGGATATCCCTGAGCTACAGTGTTACTTACACCAACTCACTGTTGTACTGTTTGTGGTGAGCTTTGGGTGGTCGTCAAAATAAGCATCATACCACATGCAGTCACATTAATCGTGTGTAGGCCCTTGTTAAAAGTTGACACATTATGTTATGAGTGTACAATATTTTTACAAATATGATACTCATAGTTGATTTCAAGCAAGAAATGAATGGAGGCCAACAGTCGTTTTAGAACGATCAAGGTGCGAAGGCTCTACCAGCCCATTTCTTCCTAGATTGGGGTTAGTCGTAACACAACCATGGAAATATTCCTAAAGAAGACATAGATGTGTTGATAGTGGAGGTAGGGTTTATTGATATATATATATCAATTTCATATTTCCATGGAAACATTTAGAGTGTGGTTGTAAATGGAGGGTGTGGCGTTAAGATGAGAAGAGTCTGGGCTTGTCAGTCAACACTTTTATCACACCGTGCATACGAATTATTCACATTCTTATTTATAGATCATCATGCAGTCATTGAAACATCTGTTGGTCGTATGTTTTCTGAAAAAACAGCCTCCTCTACATCTGATGTAGTTTGGTTGATAAAGCTTTTTGTTGTTGCAAGGTTACTTGAATTGCAATATTTAATGGCAAATTGGTTCACAACTCACCAATTAATCCATCTTTGAGCAGCATGGATCAAAGGAAGGCGTTCTATGTTTTGAGTCACTACATTTCTGTCCAACCATCGATGTACATTTTAAAAATTGTAATAAAATTGTAACTATTGTATTTGCTTTGTCATCTCTGTTAAGACAGTTGCTGTATTGATATGCCTTGTGTTGTCTGTAGACTCTTATCCTTAACCTTGAGTACATTATCCTTAACCTTGGATACGTTATCCTTAACCTTGGATACGTTATCCTCAACCTAGGATACGTTATCCTCAACCTTGGATACGTCATCCCCAACCTAGGATACGTCATCCTTCACCTTGGATACTTTATCCTTAACCTAGGATACGTTATCCTTAACCTTGGAAACGTTATCCTTAACCTAGGATACGTTATCCTTAACCTTGGATTCGTTATCCTTAACCTAGGATACGTTATCCTTCACCTTGGATACGTTATCCTTAACCTAGGATACGTTATCCTTAACCTTGGATACGTTATCCTTAACCTTGGATACGTTATCCTTAACCTAGGATTCGTTATCCTTAACCTTGGATACGTTATCCTTAACCTTGGATACGTTATCCTTAACCTTGGATACGTTATCCTTAACCTTGGATTCGTTATCCTTAACCTAGGATACGTTATCCTTCACCTTGGATACGTTATCCTTAACCTAGGATACGTTATCCTTAACCTAGGATTCGTTATCCTTAACCTTGGATACGTTATCCTTAACCTTGGATACGTTATCCTTAACCTTGGATTCGTTATCCTTAACCTTGGATTCGTTATCCTTAACCTAGGATACGTTATCCTTCACCTTGGATACGTTATCCTTAACCTTGGATACGTTATCCTTAACCTAGGATACGTTATCCTTAACCTTGGAAACGTTATCCTTAACCTAGGATACGTTATCCTTAACCTTGGATTCGTTATCCTTAACCTAGGATACGTTATCCTTCACCTTGGATACGTTATCCTTAACCTAGGATACGTTATCCTTAACCTTGGAAACGTTATCCTTAACCTAGGATACGTTATCCTTAACCTTGGATTCGTTATCCTTAACCTAGGATACGTTATCCTTCACCTTGGATACGTTATCCTTAACCTAGGATACGTTATCCTTAACCTTGGAAACGTTATCCTTAACCTAGGATACGTTATCCTTAACCTTGGATTCGTTATCCTTAACCTAGGATACGTTATCCTTCACCTTGGATACGTTATCCTTAACCTAGGATACGTTATCCTTCACCTTGGATACGTTATCCTTAACCTAGGATACGTTATCCTTAACCTTGGAAACGTTATCCTTAACCTAGGATACGTTATCCTTAACCTTGGATTCGTTATCCTTAACCTAGGATACGTTATCCTTCACCTTGGATACGTTATCCTTAACCTAGGATACGTTATCCTTAACCTTGGAAACGTTATCCTTAACCTAGGATACGTTATCCTTAACCTTGGATTCGTTATCCTTAACCTAGGATACGTTATCCTTCACCTTGGATACGTTATCCTTAACCTAGGATACGTTATCCTTCACCTTGGATACGTTATCCTTAACCTTGGATACGTTATCCTTAACCTAGGATTCGTTATCCTTAACCTTGGATACGTTATCCTTAACCTTGGATACGTTATCCTTAACCTAGGATACGTTATCCTTAACCTTGGATACATTCAGATGTCTGTAATGCAAATTAACTGCAAACCAGGGTGCCGTTGTACGCTGCGATCTTAGGGCTAAGGTGATCGTAACTCCGATACCTTAACATAGACATACGACTATCGTAGCTCAAAGGTTGTTTTGAACGTCACCCTAGCCCTGTTCCACCAAGTGACCTTAGCACTATGACAGTTGTAAGCCTATGTTTATGTATGGAGTTACAATCATCTTAGCACCAAGATCGCTTTGTGGAATGAGACCCAGGGCCACGTTCCACAAAACGATCGTTGCACTATGACAGTCGTAAGTCTATGTTTAAGTATGGGAGTTACAATCATCTTAGCGCTAAGAACGCTTCGTGGAATGGGACCCAGGTTTGTGTCATGTCACAGTTATGTAAGAGATGTGCTATGAGGAATTGTGGATTATCTGTCATGAGTGAATGAATTTTGTCAGTTGTGAGCCTTGTAGAAGGACTTTCCACGTTATTTCATAAGTGACAGGTAATGCGTAATTTCAGGTAGTGAATACTGAATAATAGGTCAAGCTATGTATTAGTCTTTTTCTGAGAAAGTAGATAGTGTGGGTTTCCCAGTCAGCAGAGGAGACAACTAATAATACCATCTGTGACATGCACGTAATTATGGCATCTTTAATTATTTTCCACGCAGTGTTGATGCGATGTCACATAGCTATTAGACACAGTGCAAACAATGAAAACAGTGGAGAAGATTGTCATGAACAAATCCATGGTATCATTGCTCAACGGGAATAACTGAATGATTTCACCTAAATGCGTGCCCCTGGGGCCATGTTTACAACTATCGCTGTGCAGAGTTATGTCCCTTAGGCATACGCGATACCTATGATCATGGGTTTAAATCCCAGATTCACCCTTATGTTTCTAGGTTTGTCAGCACCATGCCCATGCTCGTGGGTTTCCACAAGGTGGGAAATACTTTAGACCTGCATCGCTTCTGGCCTTTCATGTCAAACTGACATTCCGTGATATAGCCGAAATATTCTTCACTCCATGCCTCTTCGGGGTATATGAGGAAATGACAGCTAGATGATTCAGGTGTTCTGTCAAAAGGCATCATGGCACTTTGGTGTCGGGCACATGCCATTTTGAGTGGCAGCTTGACAAGGACTAGTGGGAGTAGCCTGTCAATTTGTAATTGGAGGTTTCTTCTGATGATAGGGTTGTTTATAAGGGTTGATCAGTCATTTCCGTTTTTATTCATTAGTGAAAGAACTTATAGCTCTTCATTTATCAATTCCCGACATGGGTAAAATGTGTGAAGCCCATTTCTGGTGTCCCCCCACCGTGATATTGCTGGAATATTGCTAAAAGCGGCATAAAACCATACCCACTCACTTACTCTTCATTTATCAGGATTCACTTTGGTCTGTTTATTTGCCTGGGGACTCAACAGTACTTTTCTGTCGTCCAGTCATTAAGTGACCACTACCAATAACAAGTTAAGTACATGCATCCTTCATGTTAGCTTCCATTATTGCAATATTCATACTCTTTTAGGTCCAATGGGACTCAAAGTGGATATTATTTGCTTCCATTCTTATGAACTCCGATAAATGACACAGAATTGTCGGAAAGTCAGTAGAATGATGTGTAAATGTTTGCATGTGAACTGAACTAGTACATTACTTATGGACATTTTGTGAGCGACTACGTGCCACAGTATTTGTCTTTTCAGAATAGGCTCAAATCTTACGGTTAATATGTAATCGGTTCAAAATTCACATTAATCTGCTTGTCCAAGACTAGTCATATTCAGGAAGGACATCTGTTCCGAACTGCCACTTTTATCATTAGGTAGATGGCAACTCTGTTGCAGATCATTGGTTGGTTTAAAAGTTACAAGATTTGCAGTAATGTGGAACTTGCCAGATCATCCACTGCTGATACGAAATCATTTCTCATAATTTTTTCAGACGCACATGATATGAAACCTGGACCACTAGTTGCTTCTCATCTATCTAAGGGGCTACCCAATGTGTTTAGTGGTATACATAAGTGTGTAAACTTGGACATAGGTTTCGTACAGCTACAATGAACACATCTTTGTTTTGTTCTATGTTCCTATTGGATTTTACTCAAAACCTGCTTTAAACTGGAAACAAATTGTTCAAGTTGTCTGGAGAAATCCCCCGTAAGATCACCATTTTAGTGTTGATTGATAGCACATCATTTGACATCTGTGCCACATGTCATCCATATATTTGTGTGTCTGTGATACTCACTTGATAGCTTTTGTAGTCCAACTGGACCTGGAAAATAGCTGCTGTAGCCATGGCAACGGATGGAGTTATTTATTCGGCGTCATAAGTGTCATAAGTGTCGCTACGAGTTGGTATACATTTTGTCATATTTTATGTCCAAAAGTTTATGACACTGCAGTAAATAAATAATTGCCATAATTAAGGACTTGATTTCTCATTTATTACATCTTCAAGCAGGGCAGACAGGGAGATGTTAATCATATCTGAGGCAGACAGGGAGATGTTATTATATCTGAGGCAGACGGGGAGACATTATTTCATCTTGGGCAGACAGGGAGATATTATTTCATCTTGGGCAGACAGGGAGACATACATTTCATCTGAGGCAGACAGGGAGAGGTTATTATATCTGAGGAAGACGGGGAGACATTATTTCATCTTGGGCAGACAGGGAGACGTACATTTCATCTGAGGCAGACAGGGAGATGTTTATTATATCTGAGGAAGACGGGGAGACATTATTTCATCTCGGGCAGACAGGGAGACATACATTTCATCTTGGGCAGACAGGGAGACATACATTTCATCTGAGGGAGACAGGGAGATATTATTTCATCTTGGGCAGACAGGGAGACATTATTTCATCTTGGGCAGACAGGGAGACATTATTTCATCTTGGGCAGACAGGGAGATGTTATTTCATCTTGGGCAGACAGGGAGACATACATTTCATCTGAGGCAGACAGGGAGATGTTTATTATATCTGAGGCACACGGGGAGACATTATTTCATCTTGGGCAGACAGGGAGACATTATTTCATCTTGGGCAGACAGGGAGACATACATTTCATCTGAGGCAGACAGGGAGATGTTTATTATATCTGAGGCAGACAGGGAGATGTTTATTATATCTGAGGCACACAGGGAGACATTATTTCATCTTGGGCACACGGGGAGACATACATTTCATCTGAGGCAGACAGGGAGATGTTATTATATCTGAGGCACACGGGGAGACATTATTTCATCTTGGGCAGACAGGGAGACATTATTTCATCTTGGGCAGACAGGGAGATATTATTTCATCTTGGGCAGACAGGGAGATATTATTTCATCTTGGGCAGACAGGGAGACATACATTTCATCTGAGGCAGTCAGGGAGATGTTATTTCATCTTGGGCAGACAGGGAG